ACTTGTGTAAGTAAGATAGATCACCATCATCGTCATTACAGCCCTTCACAAGTCCACTGCTGAACAGAGGCCTCCCCCAAGCAATGCCAAAAACGGTCCTGAGCCACCTGCATTCATCGACTTCCTGCATATCTTACCAGGTCGTCACTCTATCTAGTGGGGGGTCGCCCTACACTAGTCCTACCGGTACGAGGCTGCCACTCGAGAACCTTTCTTCCCCATCGGTTATCGGTTCTTCGAGCTATATGGCCGGCCCATTGCCACTTCAGCTTACTAATCCGTTGGGCTATGTCGGTCACTCTGGTTTTACTGCGGATATCCTCATTTCTGAGTTTATCACGTAGAGAAACTCCGAGAATAGCCCTCTCCATAGCTCGCTGAGTGACCTTGAGCGTCCTCATACGGCCAGCAGTGAAGGACCACGTCTCAGATCCGTAAGTCACCACTGGCAACACGCACTGGTTGTACACTTTAGTTTTCAGAGATTGAGGTATACCTGACGAGAAGATGTGTCGTAATTTCCCGAACGCTGCCCAGCCGAGTTGAATCCGTCGATTGACCTCTCGGTCGAAGTTGAACTTACCTAGTCGGACTATTTGTCCCAGGTACACGTATTCGTCAACAACTTCGAGCATAGTGCTCCCAACAACTACCGGCATAGGTGTGACATGGACATTAGACATGATCTTTGTTTTGTCCATCTTCATCTTAAGACCTATCCGTTGGGAGACACCATTGAGGTCATTGAGCATAGTGCTTAGGTCCTCCAGCGATTCTGCCATAAGGACTATATCGTCGGCAAATCGAAGGTGAGTAATGTACTCGCCATTGATGTTAATACCGTATCCTTTCCAGTCCAGTAGCTTGAAGACATCTTCCAATGCAGCGGTGAAGAGTTTCGGGGATATAACGTCACCCTATCTTACACCTCTATGCAGTTGGATAGGTTTTGAACTCTGGTTCTGTACTCGGATAGCCATCGTAGCCCTACTGTACAAACACTTCAGCACTTCGATATACCGATAGTCAACTTGGCACCGCTGAAGGGACTGTAGCACCGCCCAAATTTCGACGGAATCAAAGGCTTTCTCATAGTCCACATACACCCAGGCAAAGTGGCAGATTGTACTCTTCGGACTTCTATACAATCTGCCTCAGGGTATGTATGTGGTCTATGGTACTGAAGCCTTTTCGGAAACCGGCTTGTTCGGGAGACTGGAAGTCGTCGAGTCTGCGTGCGAGACGATTCGTAATGACTCTCGAAAACAGCAGGTAGACGCGGCTCAGAAGGGATATCGGTCTGTAGTTCTTCAAGAGGGCGTTGTCACTTTTTATGAAGAACAAGACCACCGCACTTCTGCTCCACGCCTCCGGAGTAGTGCCACCATGGAGGAGGGAATTGAAAAGCTTCTGAAGGACTTCAAGTACCTTTGTTCCACCCGCTTTCAGAAGCTCCGCTGTAATTCCATCCTCGCCTGCTGTTTTTAAGGTGCTGGAGAGCCATTCTAATCTCGCTCAAACTGACGTCCGGGATATAATAGTGTCGGATATGACTTGCTCTTGGATCGTTACTCACACTTGCGTGTGGCTCTAACGATGATGTGTACAGTTGCCCATAGAACCTCTCAATCTCACTCAAAATCTCAGGTGTCCCGGAAACGATGCTGCCACACTCAGTCTTCAGCTTTGACAGTTGGCTCTTTCTGGCAGACAGATCTCTGACAAAGACTTTGGAGCCTTGGTTCCGCTCGATCGCTTCTTTAATACGAGCAGTATTAAAGTTGCGTAAGTCTCGCCGCATACATTTGGAGATCTGTCTGTTCAGTTGCCTGTATGCTGTCAAATCTGTTGACGATTGCAGCCTCATCTCCTGTCTAACAGCCATGAGATTAAGAGTTTGATCGGAGAGTTTTTGTGTTCTTCTGCGGCGGGTCTTGCAGAACTTAGCTCCGACCGCATGGACAGTTTCCACGAGCTTGTCATTCATATCGTCCACTGCATTGCAATCTTCTAGGCACTGAAAGCGGTTACGTAACTCGAGCTGAAAGGTTTTGGGATTCTGGATTAGAGCACGAGGGGGACGGAGCGTTGACTTCATTAGACGAGACCTCTCCAATTTAACGTTTAGGTTCAGTGTGCCTCGAACCATTCGGTGATCGCTGCCAGTTTTCACCCTTGCGATCACTGAGACATCACTGAACAGTTGGCGTCTGGTCGTCATAATGAAGTCAATCTCGTTTTTTGTCGAACCGTCGGGGCTCGACCAGATCCACTTTCTGTGGGGCCGCTTCTGGAAGAAAGAGTTCATCATAAAAAGTCCCTCTTTCTCCATGAAGTCGGCCTGCTGCTGGTCCCTTGGGTTCCGTTGCCCTATTCCAAATTTCCCTACCTTCAGCTCACCGTTCTTTCTTGTGCCCAGTTTTGCGTTGAAGTCTCCCATCAACACCGTGTAGTGGGTTTTGGAGGAATGCATGGCTCTGGAAATATCCTCATACATTTCCTCCACCTCCTCATCAGGATGTTTCGACGTTAGCGCGTAAACCTGTATGACCTTCAGCGAATACCGTTTGGTGATTCTGAGTATAAGGTACGCAACCCTCGTCGATACACTCCCAATCTTTAAAACGTTGTTAACGAGAGACTTGTGGACTATAAATCCAACACCTCCTTAGGACAGATGGTCGCCCTCCCGGTGATAGAAAAAGTTGCCGGATTCGAGAATCACCGTGTCCTCCCCCTCTCTTCGGACCTCGGATAATCCTATAATATTCCAGCGCAACTTGTCTATCTCTTCTTCCAGCTCCAGGATCTTCTCGTCAGTCCTCAGGGTACGTCCGTTAAATGTCGCCAGGTCGAGTCGTCGTAGGTGGCAACCGAACCTCCACCGGAGATTCTTAGCACCCCCTGCCCCGCCGTTACCATGGTCGCCACCGTAGCCAGGAATAACGGGGCCGCCGGGGACTGGGGGCCGCCTATTTGTGTAATTCTTCATGGGGGGTAAATTGCGATAGTTGCCACGCTTGGCGAGCGGGTTTGCAACCGCAGTTTTAGTTTTAGTTTTTAGATAGATATATGTTTATGTAAAATTGTTATTAGTTTCAAAGATACGTCGTCGCGCTTGGATAGTGATTACACTTTTTTCGACGCGCGGTAATGTGGTTTACTCCTCTAGTGTTTTATAACTCAATGAATAGCACTCATGATTTTTTATTCAAATAACCAGTTCAGTTTTTTCTATTATGTCAATAAGATCAAAAAATATTATTCATCAGTATGTAATTTGTATCCAAATGTAATTTCAAAAAAAAAAACGAGCAAAGCTCGGTCATCCGGGTACTATCTATTTAACTATGCCACAAACCACAGAGTACCTTTGTATAAACTGAAACTAGCATTGACTTATATATTACTAGCGTAAGGACCGGGCCGTCCGAGCAACTAAAACGGACCAGTGCGCTGGCCCTAAAATTACAGTTTAGGGCCAACGCGAATTGGTCGACAGTGGTGTGCGTCACAAATATGTCTAGTTGCGTGGTAAAAGAATGCAAAAATTACGATACAAAGATTTAAAAAAAACATGAGATATCGTACCATCGGTAAAAAACCTTATATTAATTTTGTTACAATAAAATTATTATATAACGTTTTATTTTTATATAATTAAAATTTTTAAAGTTTTATTTTACAATTAGTTTAGTTACCTTACCAAGATTAGGCCAGGGCTGGATTCAGACCTTCAAAAATATTATGCATGGAAAATAAAATTATACTATTTAAAAAACATATATCACGTTTGACGTTTCACGTTTCTTTTTTCCCATGTGCCGGGATTTTGGTGTCATGCATCTAGTTTATCTATAGGTTTCGTTTTTTGGCGGTTTTATTTTTGTTTCTAATTAGTTTTTGTCTAAAGAACTTAGTGTAAGTTTAATTTTGAATATTGGTACCTAATATATTTCATATTCAATAAGGGTAAAACTAAAAGAGTTCAAAAGAATCCATATCTGCCATCATCCAGATATGGATTAACTGAAAATCTGATTCATAAAATATTTTGAAATTCTGTTTTCAAACCGATTGCTTCTGGAACATAGAGTTTTTATTGTGGTAGCCCCTCATTATAGTTGTATCAAGGATGCAACATAAATGCATCGATGGACCATCGATTGACCAGAAATGTACAATACAGAAATGTACAATACAGAAATTCTCGATATGGTAGTAACCCTACGATATCGAGAATTTCTGTACCATCATATATACGTACAATCATATTAAAATGTAAAAGGACCCAATAATAATATAAGTCGACCTTTGAGTAAAATTAAAGTATTTTCGCTTAGTATTATTACGATACTATGTAGTAAAAACTATGAAATAATAGTACCATTAGGATAATTATACTACGAAATCTGACCCTGGTTACGGCAATGATTTCAAATGGAAGGATAGGCCCATCTAAATATTGAAGACTGAAACTACAAACTATAGTTTTGGCGGGAACTTGGCCGTAGACGGATTGTCGCTCCTGTTTTGTCGCTTAAATAATGATTTGAAGTGGATTTTGATTCGTAAAAGTGATGCGATTTTGTGAATTAAGTGTCCGCGCGTGTAAGCTATTAGAGAAAACGACAAAGCAAGTGCTTTGATTTCGATATAAACCTCAAGTTATTTTGATCGCTTGGGCGCCTCATGAACTTGAGTGGCTGTCGTCATCAACTGTTCGCTGGGTTGAGCTGTCGTCAAAATCTCCCAGGGGCTACGCAATGTGACGCATCAGCATACTGTGAAGAAAAAGAATATAAAAATTAAGATTCCGAAAGAAATGATAGGCTCAGAAGGGCAAGAACCCAGAGCTGTAAAGCCAGTTAATAAAAAAAATCATATAAGCAATAAAATAACCTCAAAATTTGTTTATCCGTTGTAAATAAAATTTGTACGTAAACTAAATTTACGTAAATAAGAATACTATATTCTAGTGAATAATTAGAATTAAACCCATGGCATCACAATGTCAATTTTACGTAATACGGAAAAAACGGCTTTGTCGCATGACAGTACGACCTGGAAAACAATTCTGTGGTGAACATGAACCTCACCCAAACCCTATGACTGATGATGGTCAAGTATGCACAAGTCAACACTTTCTTATTTCTTAAACGGTGTACATTTTACGAAATTGTTCGTAGTTACGTGTAAGGATATCAATATTTGCTCCTTTTTTATTAAGAAAGACCTAAAAACAGTATAATACCATCGCTTGTGTTTGTCCCTTTGAATTACACTGTAAATACTGCTTGTTCTTATGTATTGCACGTATATCCTCATCCTTATAATCACAATAAAAATGAAACTAAATACCAATTTTGTTTTATATATACCCATATATTAGTACTGTTTATAAACATTATTATTTTTTGTTGTAGGATGACACTCGTATTCCATGTCCTAATGATCCAAAACAGTGAGTAATGCACTAAATTAATTTTAATCTAATAATTGTAATATGTACATATTTAGTCTTCATTAATCAATAATTATATTTTTTTAAACTATGTATCATCATCACAGCCCTTCACAAGTCCACTGCTGAACATAGGCCTCCCCCAAGTAATGCCACAAAGCACGGTCCTGAGCCACCTGCATCCATCGACTTCCTGCATGTCTTACCAGGTCGTCACTCCATCTAGTGGGGGTCGCCCCACACTACGCCTACCGGTACGAGGCTGCCACTCGAGAACCTTTCTTCCCCATCGGTTATCGGTTCTTCGAGCTATATGGCCGGTCCATTACCACTTCAGTTTATTAATCCGTTGGGCTACGTCGGTCACTCTGGTTTTACTGCGGATATCCTCATTTCTGAGTCTATCCCGCAGAGAAACTCCGAGCATAGCCCTCTCCATAGCACGCTGAGCGACCTTGAGCGTCCTCATACGGCCAGCAGTGAAGGACCACGTCTCTGATCCGTAAGTCATCACTGGCAACACGCACTGGTTGTACACTTTAGTTTTTAGAGATTGAGGTATACCACGAGAAGATGTGTCGTAATTTCCCGAACGCTGCCCAGCCGAGTTGAATCCGTCGATTGACCTCTCGGTTGAAGTTGGACTTACCTAGTCGGACTATTTTGTCCCAGGTAAACGTACTCGTCAACAACTTCGAGCATAGTGCTCCCAACAACTACCGGCATAGGTGTGACATGGACATTAAACATGATCTTTGTTTTGTCCATGTTCATCTTAAGACCTATCCGTTGGGAGGCACTATTGAGGTCATTGAGCATAGTGCTTAAGTCCTCCAGCGATTCTGCCATAAGAACTATATCGTCGGCAAATCGAAGGAGAGTGATGTACTCGCCACTGATGTTAATACCGTATCCTTTCCAGTCCAGTAGCTTGAAAACATCTTCCAAAGCAGCGGTGAAGAGTTTCGGGGATATAACGTCACCCTGTCTTACACCCTCTGCAGTTGGATAGGTTTCGAACCAGAGCTCGAAGCTCTGGTTCTGTACTCGGATAGCCATCGTAGCCCTGCTGTACAAACACTTCAGCACTTCGATATACCGACAGTCAACTTGGCACCGCTGAAGGGACTGCAGCACCGCCCAAATTTCGACGGAATCAAAGGCTTTCTCATAGTCCACATACGCCAGGCAAAGTGGCAAATTGTACTCTTCAGTCTTCTGTACAATCTGCCGCAGGGTATGTATGTGGTCTATGGTACTGAAGCCTTTTCGGAAACCGGCTTGTTCGGGAGGCTGGAAGTCGTCGAGTCTGTGTGCGAGACGATTCGTAATGACTCTCGAAAACAGCACGTAGACGCGGCTCAGAAGGGAAATCGGTCTGTAGTTCTTCAAGAGAGCGTTGTCGCCTTTCTTAAAGAACAAGACCACCGCACTTCTGCTCCACGCCTCTGGAGTAGTGCCACCATGGAGGACGGAATTGAAGAGCTTCTGAAGGACTTCAAGTACCGGTGTTCCACCCGCTTTCAGAAGCTCCGCTGTAATTCCATCCTCGCCTGGGGCCCTGCCGTTTTTAAGGTGGTGGAGAGCCATTCTAATCTCGCTTAGACTGACGTCCGGGATATCATCGGAATAGTGTCGGATAAGACTTGCTCTTGGATCGTTACTCACACTTGCGTGTGGCTCCAACGATGATGTGTACAGCTGCCCATAGAACCTCTCAATCTCACTCAAAATCTCAGGTGTCCCGGAAACGATGCTGCCACACTCAGTCTTCAGCCTTGACTATGTATAGTTGAACAATATTACATCATAAATGAGGTCAAAGTAGTCGCTTGTAAGAAATTGTAAAATCCTCATTATTATTTAAATAAATATCTATTTTATAAATTTAAAATTGTAGTAAAACTATTATGATGACCATAATGATAGGGTTTTTTTTTTGCGCCCGAAGCAAATAAGGGCAACCCTCCGGTAACGGGGGAGGAAGGTGGAGGATGCTCATAGCATACCACGCAGCCGGCTGCATGGTTATGTGGAGACTTTTACCCACTAAACTCCACGTTTTGGGATTGGCTTACCGATCTGACGAGAGATATTTAAGCTGTAAATGGACGTGACCCTCCTTGGCAGAAAGGAGGGCGCAGATGATAGGATCACACATTTTTATCAGGGGATAATTTTTAATTTTTTTTTTTACTTCAATGTAGAATAGCTTGTTACAATCTATAATAATATCACACCAGGTGTTAGTAGTATTGCATATGGGAGAAATGACAGAGATAGTAATTATTTACTTGGAATTGTAGTGCAACTATGGCAAATAATTCCCCCTGATGCAATCTATGGGGGAAACGTACAATGAGCAGTCGACTTCTGAGAGGCTGTAATGAATGAATGTAAAAATTATGCGATTCAGTAATTGTTACCACATATTGCTGGCCTAACTAAATATATTACATTTTTAGTTTCTCTATTACACCATGTCTGACTTACAATAATAATAAAAAGGTTTAATTGCATTTAATTTAATTTTTTCACAAATATTCAAGAGATGATTTAACATTGCTGCATGCAGGATGAAATCAGCATGAGCATGGAAAGGAGATGGAATGTGGTTGTATGTCAACATGGACAAAAATTTAATACATACATACTGTGACTTGAAACTTATTGTGCTTGTGTTGTAAAATGTGGATTTTTCATTTGAAGAATTGAACAGGGTGACTGAGCATACACAGCGAAATCACAGATGAAACATAGTGCACGTGGGGGGAGACGGGGTAAACATTGTCGCCGACAATATATTTCCCATTCCATACATGCCACATCCCTGTCCCATCCATGCATCCATAACATATTCGTTTTCACATACATTTTCTATGAAACAATATTTTCAAAATTTGGCATTTCGCTCTGTCTGGGATAAAACATGCTGCATACGCAGCAACCATTTAGTATGCAAGTATTTAGTAGCCTGACTGACTTTCTACTCTTAAGATCATAATTTAAGAAGTGAAACCTCTTATGCAAGTATTTTAAAAAATTGATGTAAATTCATGGTTCTTATAGCACTTGCTATGTAAGCAAACTACAAAAACATCTCTTGATCTGCAATGCACGCCAACGTGAGGAGCCAGAATATATAGTGAGAAATGTCAATATCTCTCCAATGATTGATGTGAGTTCAAGGCGACCTCTAAATGAATATGCCCCATATGATATACAAAAAGTTATTGATAAAGTCAACTTACTGTATAATGGTGAGATTTCTTTCAACATAATTATCAATAAAATTCCAATAGTATTTTTTTAATTTAATTTCTATTAAATTTTTCTTCCTCATAATATTTATCTAAATTTAAATCAATTTTTGAATACTCTACCCACGACCAATAGTTGTTTAAAAAATATTTTCATTATAATTAAATAATTAGTGCATACATCTAAACTAGGTCCAGTAATCTGGACCTATTTTAGTGCTGATGTATGCACTAACATGGGTCACTTGTTTTAACTTGTACAATTTTTGGATCTGCATTCTCCTGAAAATTAGGAATAAAAAAACCCCAAGAGTAAAATAGTAATATATTTCAGTTATTTAATGCAAGAAAAATAATTTTGAGGCAAAATATTGAGATTAATTTTTAGATCATGTGGAAGGCAATATCGAAACCGTCCCTGAAAAACCAATACATCAAACAGTATTAGAGGATTTTTCCACACCTGGACGGACCGAGAGTTCTTTACGACATTTAAGACAAGCTTCTAGCATACTATATTTGATTGAGATTACCGGACTGGTGCATGATAAGACTTGTTATGTGGAATTAGGTGCTGGAAAAGGTAAATCATTGCATAAAACACAACATAAACAATAGTTATCTGCATGAGACATTATTACCACAAGCTGTTTTGCAATGTAACACTGAAATGACAAGATAAAAGATAGACTTGACGGTTCCTTTATAAAAGTTGCCATGCTGAGGGTCACAGGTTAAAATCCCGCACAAAATAAGTATTTGTATAGCCTACAAATAATTGTTCCTGGTCTGGATGTAATCTACAATACATGAGATTTTATGTACTGTGGAGACCTAATGTAGTCTAACTTTTTTTTTAAAGAAAATAAAAGGAAAAATATTCTGAGTGTCAGAGACAAAGTGGAAGTGGCAATACATTATCTTGTGTGTTCATACAGATGTAGAGCACATTGTGCTTCAGAATATCCATCACCTTATTTTGTCCCATTCCCATTGGTGTTGTAAAAGATGATAATGGAAAATGTTATAAACTAAAGCCTTTTTGCCTGTCTCACTTACATTTATGCAGAACACACACACACACACACACAGTAGAGAGAGTGAGACACTTTTAAGTACAATTGCACTACACTATGACACATTTACAGTATAAAAATATGTCTTTTCTTTTGTTAGACAGTGTACGATTCTCTAGTTAACTTGACCCTCGGACCCCAAGATATAGGATTATCCTAGTTTGGGGTCCAATGGAAAATATTTGTATATCTTGAACATTGTTTAGAAGTTTAGCTCACTGTTCTTGCTTACATTTGTTAAATCTATAAGTCAATAAATTATTTTATTATGATTGTTTAGCATGATCCTGACACAATTTAAAGGTACTCTTAATTTGGCCCATCTTTAATATATCGTGAATTTGGTTGATAAGCTTCCGTCTAAGCTGTCCTCATGCATTCTTCTTGATGTCCAAATTACCAATGCAGTCCATTCTTATTCATTCAAGTGTTATTTAGATTATGGAAAAGCTAAAATAAATGTAATAAGCAACTTTTTTCTTGCCTCTAGGTATTTTAACATTTGCACTGATTAGATGCATACATGCATTATAGCATTGATGAGACAATATGGAAATTTACTCAATCAGCATTTTTAAAACAACAAAAATGATTGAATTCAGAAGAAAATTAAATTAATATTGACCATAATTTATAGGATGCCACAAGATCTTCCAGTTTGCCTAAGCCACTTTAACAATCACTGAAATATACATTTATCGGTTTCAGGTCAACTATCGTTTTATGCCTCTAACGCATGGTGCAATGAAACTAACGGAAGCTGCGTGCTCTTAATCGATCGCGCCTCCCTTCGCCACAAGCGAGACAACAAGTTGCGCTCACAGCCCGGCGTTGCTCGTAGACTGCGAGCCGACTTGGCGCACTTAGCACTGGACAAGGCTCCAGGCGTGTTGCAGTGCGAAAATGTTGTGGGACTGGCGAAACATTTGTGTGGAGTCGCCACTGGTATGTTAGCTCTTAAACTTATAAGATTTAAATAGCGGCATTGAAAGTATACTGTACATGTTTAAATTAAACTAAGTTTTATGTATTCTATCGCGTATATTAACTTTTTTTTAAGTTCCGACGTTTCGAGCACTTTACTGCACCCATGGTCACATGGGAGACGGAGGTGATTCACGTCCCAATGTCATAGGTAACCATGGCTACCTTAAGTTTAAAATTATTAATATTTGAAGTCTGAAGTCGTATATGCTTGGGTTTGGATTTGATTTTATTATTTATAGGATCCCAAAAATCTTCTCTATTGAAATTAGGATGTTTTTTCAATAGCCTTGCGAATAATCCTTGGTAGAATAAATGCAATAAAATCCGTAAAACTTAGTTTTATATAATAATATTACGTTAAAATATTTTATAATATTTTTGCAATTTCTCTAACATACGGGTTTCCTCATGGGTTTTTCTTCATCGCCAAACACGAGGTAAAACAAGCACTTCAAATTAAAGTTGCCATTAGTATAAACACATTTTCATTTTAGTTTGTAAAGTATGGTGCATTGAATTTTTTTTTGCCATGACCTGAAACTGTATCCCTAAAGTATTCAACGTTTGTTTACATCAGTTATACAAATTAAGTCATACAAATCAATTTTTTTACATACATAGTAATTGTTATAGCTGACTATACAATTTATGGTTTACTTAATATTATGCACTTTTATTGCCAAAAAATATTGACTCAATAAAAAAAACTGGTGTTGCCAAATCCTGCCTCTGCCTAGTGTGGCAACTATAACAAAATCCTCCATATGAGGCAATAATCTGTGGGGCAGATCTAGCTCAACAGTGGACTTATAGGTTGTAATGGATGTATGGAACCAGTTTATCATTACTCTTTGAAGTAATAATAAAGTAATTAATAAAAATAAAGTGTGTCAATTGTTTTGTATATGATATGACAGAAGAAATTATTAGTCAATTGACAACAACAACCAAAAACAAAATCGGTTGGGTCGGTGTATAAGTGTCGTTGTGTTTTTGGCTATTTCTTATTCTGAGAGCTGTTGAATTACCTTTTTTTTGTTTATTATTTCTGTTTGTGTTGGTTTTAGTAGTTATAAATCCGTAAGTGTTTAGTAATTGTGCCGTTTTATATGTAATTAGTTAGAATAAAATGGAGGAAGATCCTCCCGATCCCGACGGGGTTCCATGTGACTCCCATACTGGTACGGAAAAAAATAATAATATTCCTATCGAAATTGATCAGTCGAAGCGTAAAAGATTGCAAGCAACCAATAACTCAGGTCATCCTCAGAAAAGATTAATTACAGATCCATCTCAACCTGTTCCATCTATTCAGACCTCTTATACCCCCCCTGAATACATAGAAAAAAAACATAAATATTCTAATAACGCCAATGCGCCGTTTATTGTACATGTAAGTAAGAGAGTAGATGATTTATCAACTGGAGTAGTTTTAAAACCGATAAAGTTTGGTCATTTTCTCTACCATAATAATATTAAAAATGTTGTAAGTGATGGTGTTAAGCGAGTAGGACGCAATAGAATTTCAGTCGAGTTTAAAAGTGCAGTTGATGCAAATTGTTTTATTGAGAACCCAGCCCTTGCAAGTGCTAAATATGATACTGTAATCCCTTCTTATAATGTCACACGCATGGGAATAGTGAGGCAGGTCCCTGTAGAATGGACATTAGAGGAACTCATCTCATCAATCGAGGTCCCAGCTGGTTTTGGCTCAATTATTAAAGCTCGCCGATTTAATAGAAAGTCAGTTAATGAAAACCAAAGCACTGTGTGGATTCCCTCTCAAACAGTTGTTTTGACTTTTTCCGGTCAGAAACTTCCTTCTAACATTTATTGTTTTTTTACCTCAATGCCTGTTGAGCCCTACATTTTACCTCTTATTCAATGTCACAAATGTTGTCGTTTTGGGCATGTAACCTCACAGTGTAGGTCATCTTCCCGGTGTTTTGTGTGTGCTCAAAATCATGAAGGAATATCATGCACAAGACAGTCTCCCACGTGCTTATTTTGTTCAGGATCTCACACAGCTAAAGATCCTTCCTGCCCTGAACACTCTAGGCAGAGATCTATCAAACTTACCATGTCACAGGAAAATATTTCCTATCTAGAAGCATCTGCCCGTTTCCCTTATGTCCGGAGATCTTATGCAGATGCTGCTAGAATCCTTCCTTCGTATGATCATCAGAGTCCCTATCCTATTACAAATTCCCCTTTACCTTCAGTTGTCCCCTCACAATCTCATTCTTACAGGAAGACTACTTTTACTCCAAGACTTCCGCCAAATCCAGCATCAAGTCATGGATATGATAAATCTGCCCACGAGGCAATAATAGATACCCCTTCTTCTTCAACTACTAATGGTAAATGGTTGTGCTTTAATAGGGCGGAGTATTTCCCCTAATGACAATCTCTGTGAGTTAATGATTTCCATGCTTATAAGTATGCTTTCCCGTTTCAGCGATATGGATCTCCCACTTGCCCTCCGCCAAAAACTTACTGAGCTCATCTCATTAACAAATAACCTACCCTCCAGTACTTTAGTGGAACTGCTGGAGCATTAATAATAAAAAAAAATGAATTAATTTACCTTATTAATAAATACCATCCCCTCATCCTAGCCATTCAAGAGACATGGCTTAAGCCTGGGTCCCATTTTAGGATTTCAGGTTATTCATGCCTCAGGAATGATAGGAATGATGGTCATGCTGGCTCTTTCATTCTTATCTCAAAATCAATTACTTATACATTAATTTCCCTCCCTTCTCATAGTCCTTCAATTAATGTTGTAGCAGTTAGAGCTCATAACACTTCTTTTCTTTCTATTTACATTCCCGAACCTAGTGTAAATGTTTTATCAGAACTTACGAGGATCATATCCTCCATCCCTCCTCCTATGGTAATTCTTGGTGATTTTAATATGCACCATACTTTATGGGGCTCCCATTTTTACGATCCCTGGTCTTCTACATTTTTAGACATCATTGATGATTTAGATCTCTGCCTCCTTAACGATGGTTCACCTACACGTAGAGTATCCCCCCTCCAAAATCCTAAAAGTGCAGTAGATCTGTCACTCTGTTCTCCTGCTCTGTCGTCCCTTCTTTCTTGGAGAATACTACCCTTTTCCCATGGCAGTGATCATTTCCCTATTGTTATCAATCCCCCCTAGCTCCTATACAGTCAATGTTCCATTCAATCCTAGGTTAAAATATAACACTTCCAAAGCAAACTGGCAACTATATTCCACAGTTCTAGAGGAAGAACTTTCAGCCCTCCCTCCTGTTCAGAAAGATAATGTTCTCCAGGTGTATGCTTCTTTTAAAAACGCTATTTTATCTGCTGCCAATAAGACAATTCCCATCAAAAAACCTTATAAAAATAATGCCCCTTCACCACCTTGGTGGGATCAAGATTGTTCTGTAGCATGTAAGAAGAGAAAGGAAGCTGAAGTAAGATATTCCCACTCTATGAATTTTGACAACTATATTTTTTATAAAAAAACTGCTGCTGAAACATTAAAATTATTATCCGGGAAGAAAAAGGCTGGATGGCTTAAATTCTGTGAGTCACTGTCGCCTAGGACCCATCCATCATTAGTCTGGAAAAATATAAAAAAAATTCCGATGTTCAGTTTTGACCTCTGAAAACACAATTTCTAATGATCAGTCTTATTGGCTAGAAAATTTTGCTAGTAATCTTGCTCCTCCTTCAGTACCATCTTACAATGAATGTATAGCATTTCAATCACAGTCCTTGCACTATCAACACAGTTTTGACGCCCCTTTCTCTTATGAGGAGTTATATGCTGTTCTTAGTGTCCTTAAAGACTCTTCACCAGGAATTGATGGAATTCCTTATTCTTTTATTACTAATAGCAGTGAACCTATTAAAGTCCATCTTCTTTCTATTTTGAATTGTATTTACATGTCTGGTATTCCTCCAGAAGAATGGAAATCCCAAGTTATTTTACCTATTTACAAACCAGGTAAGCCTTACACTGATCCCTCAAGCTACCGCCCTATCGCTCTTTCTTGTACCATGGCCAAAATCCTTGAACACCTAATAAAAAATCGTTTAGAATGGTTTCTTGAAAGCAAACGCCTTCTAGCAACAAGCCAATTTGGATTCCGAAAGGGCTTAAGCACCATGGATAGCCTTAGTACTCTAGTTACTGATATTCGTTTAGCTTACTCTAAACATGAATACCTTGTTGGAGTCTTCCTAGATATCGCGTCTGCATATGACAATGTACTTCTTCCTATGCTCAGGCAAAAAATGCTCAATCTGAGTATTCCAGTGAGGATAGTAAATTTTGTCTCTAACTTTCTCTCTTCTAGATCCATTTATATTGATAGTCAACATTCTCTACTCCCACCAAGAATAGTATGGAAAGGTCTCCCACAAGGCTCAGTACTTAGTCCTTTGCTCTATTCTATCTATACTTATGATCTAGAGCTTTCTGTTAACTCATTCTGTAACATCCTCCAATATGCAGACGATATAGCTATATATATTTCCTTGGATAACCTCCCTGCAGCTTGTTCCCGCTTGAATTTATCAATGTCCTATTTACATGATTGGTTAACTGATCATGGTTTGTCTTTGGCTGTTCCCAAAAGCAGTGTTGTGATCTTCTCTCGCCATAGGCAACTCCCTGAAATCAACATTCTCTATAATAATGAACCTATCCCAATTAGGGAGAATGTAAAATTTTTGGGAGTTATTCTTGACTCCAAACTAGCCTTTTCCCATCATATCAACTATGTTTCCAAAAAATGTGAAAAAAATATAAATATTCTTCGAGCTTTATCGGGAGTTTGGTGGGGCTCCCACCCATTCTCTCAAAAATTATTGTACAATGCCCTTATTCGTAGTCATTTGGATTATGGGTGCTTTGTCTTGGAACCCTGTAATAAGTCTTCCCTAAAGAATCTAGATAGGATTCAGGCCAAAAGCCTTCGTATAATCATTGGGTCAATGAAATCTTCCCCAATAAATGCTCTCCAAGTCGAATGTGTAGATCCCCCTCTTTACCTAAGAAGACAATATCTTTCGGACCGATTCTTTTTTTAAAATCTACCAACTCTCTTCCCACCCGCTCATTTCTAAATTACACCTTCTTTTGGAATATATTTCATCAAAGCATTACTGGACTCATAAAGAATCTCCCTGCTTATCCAACAGTTTGGTAACATTACTCCATCTACCACACCCAGTATCACAATGCAAGTCCTGTCCCATCTTTGATATCCCATATGATGCAATTATTTATCAACCAAATATCCACCTCGACCTTGGTATTGAGAAAGATTGCCCTATAGCAAATAGTAAACTAAGTAGAGTCATAGATAACTTATGGAAAGGCTGGCTTATTATATACACTGATGCCTCCAAAAAGTCAGGTGAAAGTTGCACTGGAGCAGCCGTTTGGATTCCCAGATACAAAATAATCCTCAATTTTAAATGCCCTTCTATTTCTTCCACTTTTACTGGCGAGGCCACGGCAATTTATGAAGCTTTAATTTATATAGAAGCACACAACCTAAATAAGTCAGTTATTCTTACTGACTCCAAAAGCTGTTTGTTAGCAATTTTGTCAAACCAGTTCCAAAGTAAATATAAGATACCCTTGATCCTCAAAATTAAACACACATTGTATACATGCCATCTCAAGGGTATTCAGGTTTCCTTAGCTTGGATTCCAGGTCATAGTGGCATCAAGGGAAATGAAACAGCTGATCTGATGGCTAAAAATGCAAGTCGAAATGGTTTGCCATGTAATTTAGTTTACTCTTCAGACATAGTGTTACTTGCAAAGAAGAAGTTAAATAATAATTGGAATACATTATGGAAAGCCACTCAAAATATAAAAGGTAAACACTATGCTGCTATACAAGGTGCCATTCCTCCAAAACCATGGTTTTTCAAATTTAATAAAGCTAACAAACAGTCAACATCAACTATCTGTAGACTTCGAATTGGCCATGCTTGTACACCAGTACATTTAGCCAAACTGAGGATTAGGGACAGTTCCCTCTGCGAATGTGGGTTAGATGAGGGAACTTCTGACCATATTTTTTTTAACTGTCCTAAATTATCTTCTTCACTCTATGATCACCTCCCTCCTGACATCCCTCGTCCTATAAATTTTGATTCACTTTTAACCTACACAAACACTCCTTATGTATATATTCTGTGTGATTTTATTAACTCTAATAGTATAAAAGTTTAATGTTTGTCAATACTAATATACTAAAGTAGTTATAGCAACTGTGTTTGTCATTTGTCCTAGGTAATTCAACAGTACAACCACTAGTATTATAAGATAAAAAGGAAAATTTAATTGTTTAAATAAAACAAGACACTTGTATTATCACAATCTTCTTTAGTTCATGGGCATAGTATTTGTAACTACTGAGCTTATACTCAATAAACACTTCCACGCTGACATTGGCGAATAATCAAAAACCGCCATAAAAAAAGAAAGAAGAAGAAGAACAACCAAAAAATAGGGCTACATATTCGACTTTATTAAAGGAAATGCCAGTTTTGCTTACGAAAATTTTGTATTCATACAGACTATGCGCTGCGAAGCGTGGTGGGAGACTCTTGCAGCAAAACAGTGGGAGTGGTAATGGCCACATGTTGCCACCACCGCTGCGAAATAAATGCGTATGTCGGAGAATTGCAGGTTAGTTATTCGCTCTCACTAAATATGGCTAATATTTCCAATATGGACCATCGATTTCAAAGCCCATATTTTTTTGTAGATAGTACTCACTAAAAGAAAGCGTTTTGCAAAGTTTTAGATTGCGGAAACTTACGGTTCATGAGATATATTTTTTAAACTTTTCATACAAATTGGTAAATAACACACAATTACAAAATAAATTTGACAAATGATTGATGTCAAACGTCAGTTAGTGTAGGGTTCCGAATATTTTGAAAGTATCGATACCTACTCGATACCAAGTATCGTATCAAAAGTATCAATACTACTTGGTATCGAGTACATTTCGTTAATTTTGGAGACGAAAAATTATGACAAACCAATTAGATGCATAGGAAGAGCTGATAAGTGCAATTATATATGTATATAAAGTAGAATAAAGTTTACACTATTTAAGTTCCACCTTATCTTTTTTCATTGTTTGCAACTTTTTGTATTTCTTAATTAGTACAGCTTTTGTACTTTTATTTTATTGTTTGCAACTTTCTGTATTATCTAATTCTTACTACAATAAAGTGTTTACTTACTTATTGACTTACCTATTTAATATCCAAAAAGTACCCAAAACCGAATCAGAGCACCCCACTATCCACGTGGTCTTGTCTGCCCTACCCCTAGAGTGTATATAAGAGCCCGGAGGCGCGGAGGGAGAGCAGTGCCCGCCCGCCGTAGGGAAGCGCAGGCACCGAGATGCCTGTGCTTCCCTACGCTAGGGCGGAGGCACTGCTCATCCCGCAGCGCCGGAGCTGCCACGGAGCGCCGGAGCACAACTTCCCGGCTTCTTACCCCCCTAGTCTCCAAAATTAACGAAATGTACTCAATACGAAGTAGTATTGATACGATACTTGGTATGGAGTACGTATCGATACTTTCAAAATATTCGGAACACTACACTAATTGACGTTTGACATCAATCATTTGTCAAATTTATTTTGTAATTGGTGTAATTGCGTGTTATTTGCCAATTTGTATGAAAAGTTAAAAAAAATCTATCTCATGAACCGTAAGTTTCCGCAACCTAAAAATTTGCAAAACGCTTTCTTTTAGTGAGTACTATCTACAAAAAATGTGGGCTTTGAAATCGATGGTCCATATTGGAAATATTAACCATTGTTTAAATTATAGAATCAGAAAACTAGGCAAAAAATGTAGGTATTGGTAGAATTCTCATAAGTTACTGCACTTTTCCTTTTCCATATATTTACCATAGAATACTATAATACATACGTAATAGACCGGGGTAGTGGGCGGAGCCTATGTAGCCACTAACATGTCAATTCACACCTATAAATGTCAACACATCTCTTTTGACATTACAATCGTTTCTAATTTTCGTGTCAAGTATCGCTGCATGGAAATTATTTTAAAAAAATGGCTAATTGTGCAATAATTACGTGTAGAAAGAACAGCGATAAATAGAATTTAAATAAAGGAGGCATGTCCTACAACCAGTAAGGCGAAACTATTTATATTTTGTGGATATTAGAAACAAAAATAAAGAAATATTGATGTGTCAAAAACAGCAGATATTGGAAGTATTAGAGATGTAAAAAAAATTACTGATACCAATAAGCCGGAAAAGAAAGAAAGAAAGAAAGAAAGAAAGAAAAGTTTATTTGGTACATACATTATAACAAAAAGAATAAAAATAAAACATTTTTTTTAATATCTTATCAAAAATATTTAAAAAGTAATAACAAAATATGCACCAAAATGGTCTCCACTCAGCTTTAAGTCACGAATTGAAGATATAAATACATCAATTCGTAACGCTGATTTTCAGTGAAGCCAGGAGTGTGAGGCAGATGACAAGTAACAGCAAGAGAAAAAATGAACTAAACATAAATATAAAATAAAATCAGAAAAAAAAACTGTCAAAATTCCACGTGTCCGTGCAACTTTGATAGTGTAAAGATGGACGAACGGTGGTATGCATACAGAAAAAATAAAATAAATTGTGTATGTGTATGTGTGCATGCGTGTTTGAGTATGTGAGTGCGTTCGTATGTGCATGTACGGTACTGGCATTGAGATTGAATCATACCATTTATGCCTATTTGCTGGATTTTTGTACGGAAATCAGAAACTTTTTTAATAAAGTTTTAAAAGTGTCAACTGTTTTACTATTTCTGATCGGTGGTGGTATATCATTCCAGCACTTCGTGGCAGCAAAACGAAAACTACCACGGAAGGCAGCTGTGTGATGCTTAGGGTATGTGAGTCGTGATGCTGTCCTAATCGCACGCTGCGAGAAAATAAGTTTTTGGTATAAGTATGATGGTTCCCTGGTATTTATAACTCCAAAAAGCAATGATGCAAGGTGGAGAGTACGTCGAGCAGCCATACTCATCAGGTCGTGTCGATTTAAAAATGGGGTGATGTGTGATCTCTTAGGGACTGTGAAGCAGAAACGTGCGCAGGCGTTTTGAACCCTTTGTATTGATTTTTTCGTTCTTGCGAGCAAGCATTCTCCAAATACTGTATCCGCATAAGTTAGCTTCGACAGAATGAGTGATTCACACAACCTAATGCGCATGTCCACCGTCAAATACTCTCTGATCTGGTACAAGACTTTGAGTCTATAGAAACAGTTTCGCATGGTTTCTTGCACATGACCCTCAAAACGCAACCTTCCGTCCATAACGAGACCTAAGTTCCGAGCTTCCAACACACATTCTAAAGGAGTAGTCTTGATGTTAATTTGCGGATTGAGAGTTAGAATATTATTTGTCTGGTTATGCGATCCCAGTAAGATATACTTCGATTTAATGGGGTTCAATACGAGATTATTTTGATCACACCAATCGGCTATGCGGTCCAAATCTGAGTTGATTTTTTTTATTGCTATATTGGTGTCACTAGGTTTAAAAGACATATACAATTGAAGGTCGTCAGCATATATATGATAACTACAATTTTTTATGGTGTTCACTATATCTGAACAATACAATATGAAAAGTATAGGCCCCAAAATGGATCCTTGAGGTACACCTCTTGGAACTGGCAACGTGGTTGATATCCATTCTGATCCATTGTCTTTATTTATTTTAACAAATTGTGTACGATTAGTGAGGTAACTCGCAAACCATTTTATTGTTAAATTATCAAATCCATAGTAAGCGAGCTTTGATAAGAGTAGAGTGGTGTTAATGGTATCAAAAGCTCGGGAAAAGTCAAGCAAAACTAACATAGTACCCTCTCCAACATCTTGTGCAGTCAGAATATCATCCACTACATCCATGAGAGCGGTTGCAGTGCTACGAGACTTTCTGAATCCGGATTGCTTTTTAGGCAGGATATTATTAGCCTCAAGGTACTTCGTCATCTGTGTACAGACTACTCTTTCCAAAATTTTTGACATAAAGGGCAAGATACTTATAGGGCGGAGATCCTTGTAGTCATTTGGATTGGACTTTTTGGGAATCGGTTTTACTAAAGCTACTTTCCACTGCCTTGGGAATACACCTGTTTCAATAGATTTGTTAATTATTCCAGTAATAACTGTCAATGTTCTGGGTAAAGTTAATATTATCATGTTCAGAGTAATGCCATCATGACCTTGTGCATTAGTTTTAAAAGATTTTATTATATTAAGAACAGTTGTTTCATTAACCGTATTAAGCTTAAAAGTGCTAGGCCCAAATCTATCAAATTCGTAGCTAGTTAAACGTGATAAACTGACTTCATTATTGCCGGGGAGCTCAAGAAAATAATGATTTATATTATTCGGATTACATAAATGAGACGGTAGTTCAATGTCTTTTTTCTTAAAGTTAGCAACGTTTTGTTTGATATTTTTCCATAAATTACGTGGGTCTTTTATCGTATTAATATAATTATTAAAATATGCAGTTTTTTCATTGTTAATTGCCGTCCTTACAATGTTTTTTAATTCCTTGTAATATTGTTTATGAATATCAAGTTTTGTAAATCTACTTTTAGCATGTGATTCATCGCGTAATTTTATCATTTCTTTAACAGTATAGGTTATCCACGGAAAAGAGCGTTTTTTTATATAAAACGATCTAACAGGAGCGTGCACATTGTATAGGTCAAGTAAAATATTGTTAAAGTTTTCCACCATTTTATCAACATCGCCATTTACAACACTTTCCCATTCTATAGAATTGAGATCTAAGACAAATGTTTCTGTATCTATATTCTTTAATGGTCTATAGGTAATTATCTTAGGTGCATGTTTGATTTTATTAATATTGAGTTCACAAGTTAAAAATGCATGACTGCAAAGATCAGGAATATAATTAATTGATACCTTATAAAGAGTCATATTAGAACAAATTACATCAATCAAAGTTTCACTATGATCTGTGAAGTGCGTCGGTTGCTTTACAAACTGAGTAAGATTCATGTAATTAAAGAAACTTTGCAGCTTCTTAACATTAGTTTCCTGTATGCTAAGAAGATTTATGTTGAAATCACCGAGTAAGACTATATATTCGAATTTACCGAAAGAAGAAACGGATTCCGTGAGGGCATCAATAAAACTATCGACATTTACCCATGGGGCACGATAGGCCGTACCAATCGCTACTTTGATGCCGTTAATACTTAATCCTAGCCACATTTGTTCTACTAAATTGCTAGTAGGGTGCAGAATTTTGCGAACGTTGACTCCAAGACTAACGTAAAATCCGACTCCACCACCACGTGCACGCAATTCGGTGGGACGCGGTACGTGAAGGAACCGATACCCCGGTGGTGAAGGTGCACGGCCCTCTTCGCCCTCTCTTATCCACGTTTCGTTGATAGCCATTACGTCTACCTGATACCGTGACATTGCTACGAGAAACTCATCATGGCGGGTGCCTAGGGAGCCAGCGTTTAAAAAACCGATTGACAGTCTTCTCTTTACTATAAATTGAAAAACAAACGCATAGACAATTTGAGCGTATTTACAGCGTAGGATGAATTTACACAAAAGTGTTAAATGTCGCCAACATAATAAAGTAGAAATCCTTATGAAGTAATGTTTTGTAGTATATATGTTTCGATGTATTAGATGTAAGTGTGTGTAGAATGTGTAAAATGTCAAATCTAAATAACGCAAGTATATTTGGAACGTAGTTTGGATCGATGTTGTATGCATAATGTGCGAAGTAAATGAGTTAATATACAAAACCATTGACAAATACTCGTAAGTATACGATTTTAAGTCTAAGAACATGTTAATATTAAAACAAATAATCTTAAAATAAGTTATAACAAAAATAAAAATAAAGAGGTTTTTTGAAGGTAAATTTACAAAATCACAATAACAAAGATGAAACATTACAACAATTAATGAAAAACATGGAATTAATGGTTCAAATATGCCGGAGTTACAAGATTTTAAAATAAAAATGAAAACTATGTTTAACACTTTAAGAGTAAAACATTCAAAGAAGTACATATAGTAACTTATTAAAAATAAGTATACAGTTAACAGCGGCCATAAATAACAATCAAATAAACTATTATTACGAAAACGAAACCAAAGGAGGTATTTCATTTTAAAATGGAATACGCTTAAGAAAATATCAGTGTCATTATTTAGATCAAATTTAATTACATGAACCAACGTTCTCAATGCCCAAAAACTTTAATGAAATCGTGCTCCGAACGTAAGCGATATCGTGGTTCGCCGTTATCTTTACGCACAAAAATTTTCCCTTCCCGAGTCCACGTGTACTTCCACAGGGCCCGCTTGCATTCTACGCGTGCCTTGTAAAACAATTGTCGGTTAAATTTGGTCAATCTTTCATTGACATGGAATGGAGATACGGCAGAATCGAGTCCTAGGCCCTCTGTGGTAGTGCTACGACGAACGCGCGCCGCCGCCAGCAGACTGTCACGGTGCGCGCGGCGCGCCAGCCGCACCACTAAGGGACGGGGCCGTACGCTACCGTTTTGATCCACTGCGCGCCGAATGGGCCCTGCACGCTCCGCATTCACGAGGTCTCGCTCCTCTAGAGTGACTCCCAACTTAGTAGCTACTGTCAGTACCAGATGAACGGATCGTTCGTTTTTTTTCCTCTGGTATTCCCGAGATCTCAATGTCATTACACAGCAACTCTTGGTCCCGATCGTTGAGTTCCGCCTTCAAATCAGCAATTATGGTTTCTAAATTACAGGTGTCATCTGATTTTCTACTGTTCTGATGACATTCTACGGCCTCCACTCGAGCTTCGAGGCTGTCAAGTCGCTGGTTGCATCCGTTAATAGCCACAACAAGATTTGTGATGGTGCCCTTTAATTCCTGCATATTAATGCACATCTCCTTCAGCTCTTGCCGCAATAATCTTAGTTCAGTCGCCAATTCAGTGGACTCTATATCCGATGTAGTTGAGGTATGTGCAGTTGGAGCCGATGGACTCGGTTTATTGGCACGACCACGTAAGGTGACATTCGTACAGCTGGAATCCATTAAATCCTGCTTAATAGGCGTGTTTGTGTTATCAGACTTCGGTTCCCTGCTTAAACATTCCTGACATTTCCATTTTCGTTTATGTTCTGTAGTCATGGTATTATAGAATCGTTTTTCACATACATTTGCGCACATGAGGTCATAATGCTTGGTGCAAACATAACACTTTAAAAACTGCCTGCTAATAATTTCTTGTGAACATCCATTACAAAGAATTTTATTCATAGTTGGAGGCGCCATCTTTCTCTTTGCGAGGGTAAACTCGAGTAGTAAGGTAATTCAATAAAGCGGGTGAAGAATATTGATAATTGTGATTCTATGATTTACTTCTAGATGGCGCCGTTACACAGATCTTTAATTCCCTATGAGATATGAGTAAATTTTAAATTATACTGAGTAGGTAGATAAATATAAAAATATTGTCGCTTTTAAATTTGTACTTGGCTTAATTAAAACCTAACTAAATACGTTTTTTTTCTTCGATCTACAATACCAACTAGATGTCGGGTCGTCGCAAGAAATCCATCTAAGTACATAACAGCGCACATGAGCCGTGAGCTCTTGTTTCTTGTTGTCTTACTTTCGGTAATTACATTACATGTATAATATGTTATATTTTAAGCTCTAAACTAACAAATAATATCATATTTTAAACAAAAATACCGAACAAAACCGCCCCTACAAATGTTTTGCCAATGTTGACCAATACACGCACAAACATTTGTGAAACAGAACATGGACGCATGAAGTAGAATAATTCGTTACCAAAACTTTAAATAATGGTAATTGCTACTTTTGTCTTTGTTTGTGTAATTCCGATAGATACTTAGATTTTTTTAGCTTTCCTAGTTTTCTTCCCCGGTCGAGCCGACCCATTAGTGCTACAACTATACTACTAATATAATTGCAGCATGGCTCTACCACGTTTTGAAAGTATGCAATGGGCGATCTTATTGCTGACAGCAATTTCTTCCAGACAACCTATAAATGGACAGGATTACATGAAGATGACAGGAGTAGGGCAAATTGGTAGTATAAAAAAGAATGCACATATTTATATATATATACTATACATAGATACATACATACTACGAACATATATACATACAAAAACTAAAATAGATATATATTTAGTTAATTAAATGCAATTAATATGCTACATACTATATTATATTTAATGGCTCGTGTGGAAAGTATGTATACCAACAATCATAAATGCCCAAAACATAAAAATAATTTTAATTAAACTTATGATCATATTATAAATTATTTTAGTGTTCAACGCGACTCAATACTTCCTGGACCAAATTCTAAGAAGAAAACAGAAACATAACAAAATGACGTAGCTCGCAAGGCAATAACGGGAAAAAGAACTTTATTTGTTACACGTTAAGGTTGATTTCACACCAAAGATTATTTAATTTGTCTTTTCATTTCCATTTGATACGAGTATTGTATAGCTTTGTTCTTTTTTTGTGACTAATGATCGTAAGATTTGTGACTTTATTACTAGATGCGATGGTTGTAATTAGGTTGAGCTTAAAACTATTTTAATTTTTTGTCTCATTTCTTTAGTAAACAAAATGTAGCTGTTTAATTTTATATTCACGCGGACAGTATTTAGCTATGATTTTGTGCGTGACCCGTTATCTAGTTGGTATTGTTGATCGAAGATTTTTTTATAGGATAGGGTGACACACGAGCACACAGTCCACCAGATTTTAAATGTTGCTATGGCTCATAGACATCAACATTTCTATCCTCGATTACGAATCAAAATGTAGATGCGTTGCCACTCGTGAGGACTAAGATGGAATGCCTCGTTTTCAGTAAAAAGGGGAGATCCTTTTTCTCTACACTCACTATACGAAACACAGCAGTGTTAAGCTACTATTTCACACTGGTATTCTGTGAGAGCGTGGTCCTTCCCCGGTCGAGCCAACCCATTCATGCTACAACTATACTACTAATATAATTGCAGCGTGGCTCTACCATATATAAAGTACAATGAAAAATATTAATTTAATGACTCACGAATAAACTCAATTTTAACATTTTTTATCAAATTGTAAATTTGTTCCCGTTCCATCTAGTGGGGGGTCGCCCTACACCTCGCCTACTGGTACGAGGTTGCCACTCGAGAACCTTTTTTGCCCAATGGTTATCGGTTCTTCGAGCTATATGGCCGGCCCATTGCCACTTCAGCTTACTAATCCGTTGGGCTATGTCGATCACTCTGGTTCTACTGCGGATATCCTCATTTCTATGTTTATCACGTAGAGAAACTCCGAGCATCCATTTTTTAGAAGTTTTTAGATTCGATCTTCTGGTTACGTATCATTACTATATACTATAAATATATAGAGTTAAAAGTAAAAAAATATATATGTTCATACTTTTTCATCCGATTTCGCGCTTGCCCTGTGTTGGCTTACCGATACTGTACTATTTGGTACATACTTTTTTGTTATTTTTCATTTTTATAAACCATTTTTGCACTTTCCTGGAGATCCAGACTAAAAGAATACATAGTAGACATACACACTTTGTCTTATATTTCTTATTATAATTTGTTTTATACTTCTTGAAATTTATTTATTTCTTTCATTTTGGATTTTTAATTGAAAAAAATTACAATGAATCGTGTATTTGGAACATACAAAAAATTTTATACATTGCACTTTTACAAAGTACACACAGTACTTACTTTTTATTATAAAATTGTACAAAACTAATAACAAAAAATATTATTGAAATATTTCAAAATAAATACACTCAAGTTTTACCGGTGAGTTACTAAACAAGACTACATCCCTAGCGGTGATTCCATTACATCCACAGACCAATATGATGCGACGCATCTTACACGTGTTCAACAACTTTTTATTTACAATAAGAAAAAATTATACTTACTGCGTTTGTATTTACGATTAGATTGCATACTATTTACAAATAAATATGTATTAAAATTTAAACGATTTTTTAATGATGATCTTGAACATTAATCAAAAGTCTAAAATGCGTTAATTCGCTCAGTCTATCAACACAGTGAATTGGGTTTGTAGTAGTGATAATACGACGTAATTGCTTGTGTGTGCTCCCGGCGACGCCGATTCTCGCAGAAAATAAGGTTGACAGCCATTCTATGTGTATTATTGTATTCTATGAAATTTACAGTTCATATCGTTTACATATCTGGTATGTTTATAAAATAAAAATGTTACATAGCTAAATTATGTTATATTATGTTTGTTTGAAAAATCATTAATATCCTTTTCAGGAATTAGGCATAAGTAGCGATGAGTTCAACATAATGTTGGGTATCGTGTCGTGGGCGACATGCGGTGACGGACGCAGTCGCGAGCGACGAAAAAATGACACACAACTTGACCCGCAAGCCAACGAAAACAACACATATTTATTCAGTTCGAAGAAGCACCAGGGCGAAGTTACGGAATATGATATCAGCGACGAAGCTACGGACTATTTAAAAGTAGCTGTGAATACTGACGCAGAACAAGAAAATAACCAGAAAGTCCATAATTTATGTGATGAAAATAAAAGGGAAGTCTTTGGACCGAAAACAAAAGTAGATGAAAAAGATCGTGAACACAAATCTGAAATTAATATTAATCTAAAGAAAACTAATGTAGAAGATATTTCGAAAAAAGGTGTAAACCTAGATCAAAAGTCGAAAGAACTTGTTGGGCGACGTGCTAAAGCCTTGTTAGACTGGGGCAGAGTTCTTTTCCTCAGAAAGCATGGCTTTATTGCACATTTGTGTTACTTTGTGCCACCAGATGTCTCGTTAGAAAATGTTTGTATCGTAGCTACGAAGTGTGCTTAAAAAGGAAATATTATATTTTTGTTATTTATGTCTATTTTACAACGAAGTTGTTTAATATGAGTAAGGATAAAATTAAACACTGGTAATGAAAATATATTTGTATATTTATATCAATAATTATAATCTAAAACAAAATTTTATTATTTCTATACTAATTAGAATAAATGTAACCAAATGCTAATAATCCTTTCAGCATTATAAAACCAAGATAGATTAGCTAAATTATAATTCTATAGACAACATTTATATACATACATACATAAGTTATCAAGATACTTTTCCATGATGCAGTTCTCTAGTTGATATATGTATAGATATGGTAATACTTGGTATATAAGAATTTATAAAATATTCGAAAATTATTCGGATATTGGGTTAAATGACCTTTGTGATTTATAGTTATAGGTGTAAGTGCAGAAAAAAAAGTATGTACACACTGACAATATTTAAGTTAAGCGATCTGCACTACGGAGACCGCGTGTTGCTCTGTACGTCGTTTTTATACTTTATAAAAAAAACTTAATACAATTTAAGACCGCTATAATAAAATAATTCGATATCTTCAAAAACAAAAGTAATTCTAACCTTACTAAATGTTTTCTTATTTCGATTCGATAGCGCAATGGCTGAACATTTTGGTTGCTGCGCCACAGGACGCGGGTTCTCAACCCGAACAGAACATTTGTTTGTATGGCCAAGTAATAATTGTTTTTAGTCTGTATGTTTGTCCTTGTGTAAAAAAATGACGCCAATAATTTCAGGTGTATTTTACATAAATGAAACAAGATTCGAACCAATCACCATCTACAAATAAAACTAAATTTCCTATATAGAAATGTAAATGCTTAATACTAGGCTTGACCATTTATATATAGTTCAAACAAAAAATAGTCGCTTAATCATACGCAAACCGCCAGACTTAGAAGCGACCTTGTACTTATCTGCCCAGTCTATATAATAAGTTAAGTAATACAAGGAATGCCCATATAAGTCTGTTAGGATTTATGTTCTCCTGATCGAATTTCTATTACTCATAGTTCGATGGGACGGTAAACGACCGGAAACGACCGGAGAGAGATCAGACGCAGGACCATCGGATTTATGTACGTGCTTTCTGAGGTCACTCCCAGCTGCTACTGAGAATTTCTTGACAGTAAAACTCAATAACTTCGAACCCGGGACCTTGTGATGAGCAATCGGGTTTCCGTGCACTAGATCAACGAGACAGTCGTCTGTTAAGGTAATGAACATATGACATTAATCATATTAGATATATAATTCAATTCAGAGTACTTTATATGTGCTTCAAAGATCTCTAAATGAAAACTTTTCTACTTTAAAAATCAGTTTAATTTGGCATCATTATGATCCTGAATGTAAAGTTATATTTAGGCGTGGTAATGTTATTGGGAACACGAATTTTATTTAGTTATCTAAGCAGTAGTCGTGTAACTGAATTAGGAGATGGGCAGAGGCAACTCGCCAGTCAAGTGGTAAGTATGGCTATGTTTGCAGTGGAGTTTGTTAGAATGCAATGATGATCATGAAGCACTAGTTAATTTTAAACCGTATTCGCCCGCTGTCACTGCCCTAATTGGGGCCACCTCTTTAAGTACCCACAATTTTATTTAAGTACCCGCGAATTTATACGGCCAAAGAATGTGGTTTTGTAATACAAAATATAGTTTTTTGATTTATTGAATAAGGTGGATGAAGTTAATGATTTTATTTACTTCAATGACCAAATAAGTGTTCGATCAAAAGTAAGTTATAATTTCTTTATATTGGTATTTAGTATATTTCTTTTATAGTTTCACTTGACCATAGTTTGCACTAGTAAATAATTGTTGGGTATTTTCCGAGATTTGACCATAAGTGGAGGTATTTTAGTATGGTGTTCCCGAATGGGTATAATGGGCTCATTGATAATATATTTGGTTTTTTATACGCAGGTTGTTTCGGCGTGACAATGACCGATGGAAGACGTCGTAAACCTTCTTCAATGGTGCTTAGTATGAATCTTGATGGTGTTGGAAACTTCCCCAGATACTGCTACGCCAGCGATGATGCACAGAATATCACATGAAAGCGCAGTGGCAATGTAAGAAATGCATCAAAACTTGCATTGAAAAAGAATGTTTTGAAAAATACTAGGAATGAACCCATTGGCCCCATATGAGGACGGTATTTTTTTATACATATGGAAATGTTTTGTAATAAAATATCTTACTAACCTCCAATAGTCACATCAAAATGTTGCTTGTAGTTTGTAATTGGGTCCAAATAGGTTAATTTTTCTTAGATTTAATACTTTTACTAATGATGACATCATACGAGTAGGCTGAAAAATTCGCTACATTTGTCAAGTATGCACAAAGTATTTATATCTCATATTTTAATATATGGCAATCTGTAATGTCAAGTCAGTCATGGAAGTGCCACTGAATACAATATGGTTATGGAGGGTGAAGCTAAGGAGCACCATCTCTGTGTATGAGTGTCCGTTGAGAAGCGACCAGTAAAGGTGGCGCTTCGATAGCAAGGAGGCAATTTTAAAGATAGCGCCAAAAATCATTTATCAAGATAATTATACAAGTGAAAAATTGTTAATTGAATAAATAATAGTTCATATAAATTTATTTTATGGTTGGTCAGAAAAAAGACAGACACTGATACATATAATTTTCTTTATTTTTTTAATTTCGCCCACTTGGACAACTTTTCACTTTACAAACTTTTCCAAATATTGTTTTGTTAAAATCACGAAAAATATTATCAAAAGCTTGCAAAAACGAAATCTCTCTCCCATTATCTTAGCACTTTTATAGGTTATATTTAGTAAAATACTTTGGCCTACGTAAATAGTTGACGTTTTATAAACTGCAGTATTCTCATCTGTACGAACTCACCAGAGACAATAAATCCATTCCACTGCAGCACACTTAACTCCGTTTACAACTGCTAAATCCATATAATTTCCTATTGTTCCGCTAGCGCTATTTTGGTGAGTTCTTGAATTATAATTTGCTGCTTACAGCTGGACACTGTTTCGACTTGTCCCCCATATAAGATGGTCCTCCTTACCTTTAACGTCCATAACATATGTGTGTATTTTCGTTTACACACCAAACTAACAAAATATGTTTTAGATTCCAGCAACAAATTTTATATAAAAGGTGTTTAATTTTAGTTTCATTATACCTACAATACTTTTGAATATTGTCATTGAAGAATTCGCTCCTTTATGAACTATACTTTTACAATTATTTTGATCCAATTGTGAAATGTATTGAATCGGTAGTCACTGATAAATTTATTATTTTCTCTTGGCTTACTATATTAGCATGTATTTATAAAACAGTATGAATTTAAGGTTATAAATGTACCCTCGCAAGAGGTTATTAATGCCTCAGGAGACTAGGTGTTCTTTTTATGGCGCTTTTGATCGTTCGTCAGTGTCAGCGTGAAAGGGTTTATTGAGTAGAATAGCTCAGCAGACACAAATACTACGCCCGTGTGTAAAAGTTGCTTATGATAATACAAGTATCTTACTTTTAGTTTAAATCATTTTTTTTACAAAAAGTATATAGCTTAAAAAGTTGTGGGTATAGTAATAATAAAATAAAATTACAAATATATTTCTTGTAACATTTGTTATAAAGCCATTCAAATTGTTCACATTGTCATTAATAGTCATTTTTAGATAATGCTATACAGTTACGAAACAAATCAAAAGCAGTGTTGAAATTGTTAAATATTGGACAACAAAAATTCATTGTATGAATGAAATGAGCAGCTGTGATAATCCCATTAAGTGTTTTTCTAAATTTTACAGGAGCCCTGTTTTTTAGCACTTTAATCTACTTATATATTTAAATTTTTAAGTGTTTTACTATATAATACGATAATATAAATATATATAAATAAAAAAAAAATATAATATATATATAATATATATATATATATATATATGATCATACCTATGTTACTTAAACATATATTTTGATTTATAGAACTTTAAAGTTATAAAATTGAAATTACCAAAAATATAAGCCAAGCATGACAAACAACTGCCCTCATACCAAAAATATTTTTTAAACAATATGAGTAGTGAAAAATTCGAAAATGGTGCAATACAATCACTACATATATTTGTATTTATATTCAGTATGTTACAATATTTACATGCGATGCAATTACTCGGGGTACAAAAATTGGAAGGCAATATATAAATATCACATCACCTACACAAAATGTATAAACTCTTTGCAACAGCTATTCTCACTAAACAGATTTGCTATCACAAAGAAATATTGCAAGAAGTTTATTTACTATCCTCGCTTAAGCTTATAAAAATTAAATATATATAAACAGAAAACCTTAAAAATGACTCGGTAATCCCTGAGTACCATAAACACTAGAAAAAGAAATTAAGTAATTTTGTACTTTATAAAAAGAGACGTTACAATTAAGTCATGCGGTAATAATAAATGCTTATGAAGTATATACCATTAAATGTTCATAATTTTTGTTTTTGACAAAACTATTAGATTTGATTTTTATTTAAAGAATCTTATCAGGTTTAGAAATATTGTCTGAAAAATAAGGGTTAGTATAGAAGACCAAATCTTGCTTTACCAATGCCGTAAGCGGCGCTACTTAGGAAATAAGGTGAAATATTTGACAGATTACATGGTGGGATAGTTGATTTGTTATGAAAATATAACAGTTAATATTTCTGTCTGTATTATCGGTTCTATTTTAATTTAATTAGATTATAAATTAATAAACTAAAGTATGGATATTCCTCAAAGTAAAAGTTTATTTAAAATAATTGTAGCAAGTAAGCGTTTCCTTGTTTATAAATATAATACTCTAGAAACTGATAAACTTTTATTCAAAACGCAACGTCTCCATTAAATAACTATGTGCAACAAAAAACTTCACTTCAGTTCCAAGTAGCGACATCAGTGAGTGTAAGATCTTAGCCCTCATTCGTATTGGAGATGTGTGGATAAAGTTTTAATAGACAAAATGAACATTAATGACACGCCCGCGGGTGATGGCCAGCAAGGACAGGCGGCCCACCACGCGCGTCACACCCGCGGGTGGGTGAGTGTGGGGAGCATCAGTAGCCGTAGCGCTCCTGTATGGAGGAGACGACGCCGGTGGCCAGCGAGGATAGGCGGCCCGCCACGCGCGTCACACCCGCGGGTGGGTGAGTGTGGGGAGCATCAGTAGCCGTAGCGCTCCTGTATGGAGGAGACGACGCCGGTGGCCAGCGAGGATAGGCGGCCCGCCACGCGCGTCACACCCGCGGGTGGGTGAGTGTGGGGAGCATCAGTAGCCGTAGCGCTCCTGTATGGAGGAGACGACGCCGGTGGCCAGCGAGGATAGGCGGCCCGCCACGCGCGTCACACCCGCGGGTGGGTGAGTGTGGGGAGCATCAGTAGCCGTAGCGCTCCTGTATGGAGGAGACGACGCCGGTGGCCAGCGAGGATAGGCGGCCCGCCACGCGCGTCACACCCGCGGGTGGGTGAGTGTGGGGGAGCATCAGTAGCCGTAGCGCTCCTGTATGGAGGAGACGACGCCGGTGGCCAGCGAGGATAGGCGGCCCGCCACGCGCGTCACACCCGCGGGTGGGTGAGTGTGGGGAGCATCAGTAGCCGTAGCGCTCCTGTATGGAGGAGACGACGCCGGTGGCCAGCGAGGATAGGCAGCCCGCCACGCGCGTCACACCCGCGGGTGGGTGAGGTGTGGGGAGCATCAGTAGCCGTAGCGCTCCTGTATGGAGGAGACGACGCCGGTGGCCAGCGAGGATAGGCGGCCCGCCACGCGCGTCACACCCGCGGGTGGGTGAGTGTGGGGAGCATCAGTAGCCGTAGCGCTCCTGTATGGAGGAGACGACGCCGGTGGCCAGCGAGGATAGGCGGCCCGCCACGCGCGTCACACCCGCGGGTGGGTGAGTGTGGGGAGCATCAGTAGCCGTAGCGCTCCTATATGGAGGAGACGACGCCGGTGGCCAGCGAGGATAGGCAGCCCGCCACGCGCGTCACACCCGCGGGTGGGTGAGTGTGGGGAGCATCAGTAGCCGTAGCGCTCCTGTATGGAGGAGACGACGCCGGTGGCCAGCGAGGATAGGCAGCCCGCCACGCGCGTCACACCCGCGGGTGGGTGAGTGTGGGGAGCATCAGTAGCCGTAGCGCTCCGGTATGGAGGAGACGACGCCGGTGGCCAGCGAGGATAGGCGGCCCGCCACGCGCATCACACCCGCGGGTGGGTGAGTGTGGGGAGCATCAGTAGCCGTAGCGCTCCTGTATGGAGGAGACGACGCCGGTGGCCAGCGAGGATAGGCGGCCCGCCACGCGCGTCACACCCGCGGGTGGGTGAGTGTGGGGAGCATCAGTAGCCGTAGCACTCCTGTATGGAGGAGACGACGCCGGTCGCCAGGCGAGGATAGTCGGCCCGCCACGCGCGTCACACCCGCGGGTGGGTGAGTGTGGGGAGCATCAGTAGCCGTAGCACTCCTGTATGGAGGAGACGACGCCGGTGGCCAGCGAGGATAGGCGGCCCGCGACGCGCATCACACCCGCGGGTGGGTGAGTGTGGGGAGCATCAGTAGCCGTAGCGCTCCTGTATGGAGGAGACGACGACGGTGGCCAGCGAGGATAGGCGGCCCGCGACGCGCATCACACCCGCGGGTGGGTGAGTGTGGGGAGCATCAGTAGCCGTAGCGCTCCTGTATGGAGGAGACGACGCCGGTGGCCAGCGAGGATAGGCGGCCCGCCACGCGCGTCACACCCGCGGGTGGGTGAGTGTGGGGAGCATCAGTAGCCATAGCGCTCCTGTATGGAGGAGACGACGCCGGTGGCCAGCGAGGATAGGCGGCCCGCCACGCGCGTCACACCCGCGGGTGGGTGAGTGTGGGGAGCATCAGTAGCCGTAGCGCTCCTGTATGGAGGAGACGACGCCGGTGGCCAGCGAGGATAGGCGGCCCGCGACGCGCGTCACGCCCGCGCGCACCGACTCGCGCACCTGCACACACACACACGCACACGCACTGCAATAAGTCTCCATCCCATTGCAAACTGAGCGTCTTCAGGCCAACGGTGAATAGGCTTTTGTTAAGTCAGTGCGCTTTACCTGCATCACCACTTACCATCAGATGGAATAGTAATCAAACACTGGCATAAAATGGTAATAAGAAAAAACATACACGATCTTTATTTGTCATGCGTATAAAATAGAATACAATCATTTTCATTTAATACTAGCGATCCGCCCTAGCTTCGAACAAATTATTTCTGGATCTCGATAACAGCGCCATCTACCGCGTCAAAATGCGAATCGAAACCATCTAGGGATCCATTTAAACACTTGAAATTTAGCGAAACTATCCGAAAGCAATTTATTTTTATACAGGTGTCCGGTAACTAATGGATAACCCCGCAGTTACTAGTGAGGTTGACCTCGGCCACTCAGAAAAAAATAAATAAAAAGATATCTACAGCTGTTTGCAAAAAAAATCACCTTTTTAAAGTATAAAGTTTGATACCTCTGTTCAGATTACTTTTTTATAGAAGATGGAGCAAACAAGCATGCGGCTCACCTGATGGTAAGTGGCTACCGCCGCCCATGCACAACGGTAACACCTGGTGAATTGTAGGTGCGTTGCCGGCCTTTTAGAAATGAGTAAGCTCTTTTCTTGAAGGTCCCTAAGTCATATCGGTCCGTAAAAATCGCCGGTGGTAAACAATTCCACAGAGGAGTTAAACGAGAAAGAAAACTCCTAGTAACGCACAGTGGTGGACCGCCAAGAATCCGGATGGTGATGATGGTATCGTGGATTTTGACGCGATATGCATTCGTGAAATTTGGCGGTTAGAATTAATCCGAACAATTCCTCAGAGCGTTACCCGTAAACGCAGCGCCAGTGAATCGAGCCGATCAAACCATTAAAATCAAATCATTAAAGCCGAAATAATCGAAAGAACTCGGTCGTCGACGATTCGAACCACACTGCGCTGGATGCGGTGAAGTGGAAGGAGCTGGCACTGGGGCGCCATGGCTCAGATACGAGAACAGGATTCCATGTAAGGCCGAACTTGCGCTTTGTACAGTTGCAAGCAATGTGCCGGCATGAAATACTGTATCGCTCTGCTGAGCACGCCGCGCTTTTTAGGGGCCAATTTGACCTTCCCTTCTAAGTAGACCACGAAACTGCACTCTATTTGATATGTCGACGCCAAGGATTCCGATGCTAGCTGAGGCAGAAAGGAGAGTGCCTTGAAACTCAGGAGATACGACAAAAGAGTTCTTTATAGTGTAATACGCGCAAGCTTGTGTCTTTTGAGGATTGAGCTAGATCTTATTTAGTCGCCCTTAATTCGAGACTTTGTTCAGCAAACAATCGACTTCAGAAACAAGTTTTTTTACCGGTACGGCTACGTTTTCCCGAGAAATTTTGGCACGGCCGGAGCATAAGGCATCACCAGTACTGTCGTCTGCATAGCAATGAATATTACCAGTTTGCAACATATCATTGATATGCAGAAGAAACAGCGTTGGTGATAGCACGCATCCTTGGGGAACACCAGCGTAAATAAGTTTATTAACAGAGCATGCACCGTCTAGTACGACCTTGATGCTCCGATCAGCAAGGAAACTGGTGATCTAATTGCACAATTTCTCAGAAAGCCCAAGGATAGTAGCTCTTCGAAAGAAGCGCTTTGTGCCAGACCCGATCGAAGGCCTTCTCTATGTCTAAACTAACGGCCAACGCCTACCCGTGTAACTACTGCCTCCACCCATTCATGAGTTAGGTAAACCAGAAGATCACCAGTTGAGCGACCCCGACGGAAACCGTACTGGCGGTTACTAATCAGATGGTGATTCTAAAGGCACCTTATCAGCTGACAGTTTATAATGGATTCCATTATTTTGGAGAACAAGGAAGTAAAAGCGATAGGCCTGTAGTTAAACGGGTCTAAACGGTTGCCTATTTAGGGTTCGGGTGCCCTAAAGCTGTCTTCCATGATTTCGGGACTACGCCTTGTGAATAGGAGTACCGGAAATGACGCGTTAAAACCAATGCCAACTCAGAAGCACACGTCTACAGCACAATGGGAATGACTCCATCAGGCCCACTCGACTTGCTGACGTCCAGGGAGACGAGTGCTTTGCGAACCGAGCGCTCATACAGCGGGATGGTCGGCGATGTGTTTCCACGTCATCCAGAGTCGAGCTGGACGCAAAAAGATAGTCTAAAAGATCGGCTTTCTCCTTTACGGCATGAGCCAGTGAGTCGTCCTCACTGTGCAAAGATGGAAGAGATGGCTGACATGGTGTTTACATACCGAGACGTTGATGCGTCAGCCCAGGCCCGGTAGTACTCCTGTTTATAGTGTGATGCTATTTTACAAGAGCGACCACACCGTGGCTAGGATCTGCCTCCGATGGGCACCACAGAGGATTGAATAAAAAGTTCCATACCCTGAAGTACCACATCATCGCTAGAATCAGCAACAACGCTGGGATCGTCTGGCGAGAAGCAAATCGGTGACAGGGGTTCCCTTGGTCTTACTGCTCCGCTTGCCCCGAGCAGTTTTAGTCGCGAGGGAATTCCGCCCCCCCCCCCCCCCGAATACGCGGGGCAGCCTGAGCACCCACGCACAGGAAGAGAGCCTGAGCACCTACGCTCAGGATAGCTAGGTCGTGGATGCTCAGCTAGGGATTCTCTGTTACCAGGGGTGCTGGTACCCTCTTGAGGTAGTTTTTATTTGATTCCGCTACCATGTGAGGGGTGGGGGAATTGGGCCTCCGGCCTCCTGCACTTACTAAGCGAAACGCAGAGGTAAACCTCTACTTCACGCTGGTATTCTGTGGTACCATTCCGTTACGAGCCGGCCCATCCGTAGCGACAGCAAGAGCTGCCGCGTTGCTCTATCACTGAAAATTATTGAGTACTACGGCTACAAAATTATTAATAACTAACTGAAAATAACCGTGAATGTTTGGCCTTACCATCGCGCATTACTAAATATTGCGTTCACTCGTCATTGCGTTACATACCTCATCATCCCACCATAAATTATTATTTTTCCATTTATACGTTTATCTTACTAACGCCACTATCTTTGGTAGCTGCATTCACCAAACCTTTCTTAATATTATGCCACACATTCTTCAAGTCTAACTCATTCTTGTATTATATTTTCTCTCAGTCTAAATTTGTACTTGTCTTTCACATCTTCAGTTTATAACTTCTCTATTCTTATACGCTGTAACGCAGTGTTAGACACAGATGTCCGATGCCGCCTACGTCTGAATAGACCACTAATTCGGTATAAGACTAAGTAATGGTCCGTACCTATGTTGGGCCCCCGCTAAACCCTTGTATCTACCATTGCGCTCCTCATTATTTCATCCACAGTTATGAAATCTATCATGCTTCTATCATCAGCTCTTTCCCACGTATACATGTGAATCCTCTTATGACGAAAGAGAGTGTTCGTCACAAAAAGATTATTTTCCACACATACGGTGAGGAGGCTCTCACCATTCTCATTTATACTTTCATCACCAAATGCTCCCAATATCCTTTCATAGCCAAGCCTCCTCACTCCAACCCTTCCATTAAAATCTCCTAACATAACAATATTTTCATTTTCCTTACATTTCATTAACACCACCCTTACCATTTCCCAAAACTGCTCTCGGACAAGTGGGCTTAGCCATGTCTGGGGCGTATACCCTTAGAACAAACAACTTCTTTAAGCCCACTTTCATTCGCATCCATAGCAGTCTCGGGCTTACACATATTCTTTCACAAATTGACCCATTTTTTTTGAAAGGATGATACGAACTCACTGGTATGCCCGCTCGGTCTCGTCTACACCAGACCAGTACGCGGTATACATGCCATACATAGTGGCACCCTTTCCCTTCAGTTTTGCCTTATTTACACATAACACAGTTGTGTTATGACAAAACATTATGATGAGCTATAATAGAGGAATATATAATATCTCTCTATAATAGGAATAAATATTCCTCTGTTATATTTGTTAACAAACAAGTCGCCGACAACAGATAATTATCAAATGTTTATTAATTAACTGGTTTCTAATTGAACCTAGACTAAAATTATGGGTTAAAGCATAAATATTATGATTTGGTAACCCATGCTAAAAGTAGGGGACTCACATGGCTGGCCCGAGATGGTCGTTCTGAGTGGGCTTGTCGAACCCATGGATGTGTGTTAGTAGGCCGGGGCTAGAGGAGATTCCTCTGCCTGTACCGCTGCAGTCGAGGTGGAGTAGCAAGGGAAGAGGAACGGTGGTATGGCGATAGACGATGCGCCACTCGACTATCCTCAGACTTGGTCCTTCACTGCCGGCCGTATGAGGAAGCTCAGTCGCTCAGCGATCTATGGAGAGGGCTATGCTCGGGGTTTGCAGTAGAACCAGAGTGATCGACATCGCCTAACGGATTAGTAAGCTGAAGTGGCAATGGGCCGGCCGTATAGCTCAAAGAACCGATGACCGATGGGAAAGAAAGGTTCTCGAGTGGCAGCCTCGTAACGGCAGGCGAAGTGTAGGACATCCCCCCACTAGATGGAGTGAAAACCTGGTAAGAAATGCAGGAAGTTGATGGATGCAAGTGGCTCAGGACCGTGCTTTGTCCTTGGGGGAGGCCTATTATCAGCAGAGGACCTGTGAAGGGCTGTAATGATAATGAATGATGATGGCATTATATTAATATGGTACATAAATAGAATGGACGTTACGGGTAGAGGCCTAACTGTAACGTCCATTCTATTCATTTAGGTATAGGTATTTTTATCGATATATTTTGTCACACTGTCTTATCTCTATCATTAGTTCCATGGGCTTTCACTTCTGCTGTCAGCCAAAATGGCGCAAATCAAATTCGCCTCATTATGACATGGTGTATAGCCGGTCCATATATAGAGGTCCGTGCTTTTGGTAGATATTTCGCTTTATTAAACGCTCCTCCATTGTTCAGCTCTGAACATGTGACTGACGCGTTATCAAAAATCACGTACACCAATAAATTTGCTCAATAATCACAGAAATGACGCAAAGATTATTCTCAAAATTATAGTTTTGTTAATAAAATCCTCTTTCAACGCTGGACGACATCTTCGTTATTACCGCCAACACTTCTGGTATGACCCCCTCTCACTGCGGCCAAGACACCTTTAGCCGTCAGAACCTCTGTCTTATGCGTTTGCTTGACTGGCAGTGAGAGAACCCCATCACCTACATTAGGTGGAATGACGATTCGACAAAAAATGAGATTGACTTCATTATGGCGACCAGACGCCAACTGTTCAGTAATGTCCCAGTGATCGCAAGGGTGAAAACTGGCAGCGATCACCGAATGGTTAGAGGCCTACTGAACCTAAACGTTAAGTTGGAGAGGTCTCGTCTAATGAAGTCAACGCTCCGTCCCCCTCATGCTCTAATCCAGAATCCCGAAAACTTTCAGCTCGAGTTACGTAACCGCTTTCAGTGCCTACAAGATTGCAATGCAGTGGACGATATGAATGACAAGCTCGTGGAAACTGTCCATGCAGTCGGAGCTAAGTTCTGCAAGACCCGCCGCAGAAGAACACAAAAACTCTCCGATCACACTCTTAATCACATGGCTGTTAGACGGGAGATGAGCTGCAATCGTCAACAGATTTGACAGCATACAGGCAACTGAACAGACATCTCCAAATGCATGCTGCGAGACTTACGCAACTTTAATACTGCTCGTATTAAAGAAGCGATAGAGCGGAACCAGGGCTCTAAAGTCTTTGCCAGAGATCTGTCTGCCAGTAAGAGCCAACTGTCAAAGCTGAAGACTGAGTGTGGCAGCATCGTTTCCGGGACACCTGAGATTTTGAGTGAGAATGACAGGTTCTTTTGGTAGCTGTACACATCATCGTTGGAGCCACACGCAAGTGTGAGTAACGATCCAAGAGCAAGTCTTATCCGACACTATTCCGATGATATCCCGGACGTCAGTCTAAGCGAGATTAGAATGGCTCTCCAGCACCTTAAAAACGGCAGGGCCCCAGGCGAGGATGGAATTACAGCGGAGCTTCTGAAAGCGGGTGAACACCGGTACTTGAAGTCCTTCAGAAGCTCTTCAATTCCGTCCTCCATGGTGGCACTACTCTGGAGGCGTGGAGCAGAAGTGCGGTGGTCTTGTTCTTTAAGAAAGGCGACAACGCTCTCTTAAAGAACTACAGACCGATTTCCCTTCTGAGCCGCGTCTACGTGCTGTTTTCGAGAGTCATTATGAATCGTCTCGCACGCGAACGACTCCAGCCTCCCGAAAGGATTTCCGAAAAGGCTTCAGTACCATAGACCACATACATACCCTGAGGCAGATTGTACAGAAGACTGAAGAGTACAATCTGCCACTTTGCCTGGCGTATGTGGACTATGAGAAAGCCTTTGATTCCGTCGAAATTTGGGCGGTGCTACAGTCCTTTCAGCGGTGCCAAGTTGACTGTCGGTATGTCGAAGTGCTGAAGTGTTTATACAGTAGGGCTACGATGGCTATCCGAGTACAGAACCAGAGCTCGAAACCTATCCAACTGCAGAGAGGTGTAAGACAGGGTAACGTTATATCCCCGAAACTCTTCACCGCTACATTGGAAGACGTTTTCAAGCTACTGGACTGGAAAGGATACGGTATTAACATCAATGGCGAGTACATCGCTCACCTTCGATTTGCCGACGATATAGTCCTTATGGCAGAATCGCTGGAGGACTTAAGCACTATGCTCAATGACCTCAATAGTGCCTCCCAACGGATAGGTCTTAAGATGAACATGAACAAAACAAAGATTATGTTTAATGTCCATGTCACACCTATGCCGATAGTTGTTGGGAGCACTATGCTTGAAGTTGTTGACGAATACGTTTACCTGGGACAATAGTCCGACTATTTGTCCCAGGTAAACGTATTCGTCAGATTCAACTCGGCTGGGCAGCGTTCGGGAAATTACGACATATCTTCTCGTCAGGTATACCTCAATCTCTAAAAACTAGATTGTACAACCAGTGCGTGTTGCCAGTGATGACTTACGGATCTGAGACGTGGTCCTTCACTGCTGGCCGTATGAGGACGCTCAAGGTCGCTCAGCGAGCTATGGAGAGGCCTATGCTCAGAGTTTCTCTGCGTGATAAACTCAGAAGTGAGGATATCCGCAGTAAAACCAGAGTGACTGACATAGCCCAACGGATTAGTAAGCTGAAGTGGCAATGGGCCGGCCATATAGCTCGAAGAACCGATAACCGATGGGGAAGAAAGGTTCTCGAGTGGCAGCCTCGTACCGGTAGGCGTAGTGTAGGGCGACCCCCCACTAGATGGAATGACGACCTGGTAAGATATGCAGGAAGTCAATGTATGCAGGTGGCTCAGGGTCGTGCTTTGTGGCATTACTTGGGGGAGGCCTATGTTCAGCAGTGGACTTGTGAAGGGCTGTAATGATGATGATGAAGCACTATGCTCAATGACCTCAATGGTGTCTCCCAACGGATAGGTCTTAAGATGAACATGGACAAAACAAAGATCATGTTTAATGTCCATATCACACCTATGCCGGTAGTTGTTGGGAGCACTAAGCTCGAACTTGTTGACGAGTACGTTTACCTGGGACAAATAGTCCGACTAGGTAAGTTCAACTTCGACCGAGAGGTCAATCGACGGATTCAACTCGGTTGGGCAGCGTTCGGGAAATTACGACACATCTTCTCGTCAGGTATACCTCAAAACTGAAAACTAGCTTGTACAACCAGTGCGTGTTACTAGTGATGACTTACGGGTCTGAGACGTGGTCCTTCACTGCTGGCCGTATGAAGACGCTCAAGGTCGCTCAGCGAGCTATGGAGAGGGCTATGCTCGGAGTTTCTCTGCGTGATGGACTCAGAAATAAGCATATCCACAGTAGAACCAGAATGACCGACATAGCCCAACGGATTAGTAAGCTGAAGTGATAATGGGCCGGTCATATAGCTCGAAGAACCGACAACCGTTGGGGAAAAATGTAGGGCGACCCCCCACTAGATGGAGTGACGACCTGGTAAGACATGCAGGAAGTCGATGTATGCAGGTGGCTCAGGACCGTGCTTTGTGGCATTACTTGAGGGAGGCCTATGTTCAGCAGTGGACTTGAGAAGGCCTGTAATGATGATGATGATGATGATATTTATGTGGTAGGGCTAGGGTACTATGGTTTGCTGGGTATAGGGAACTTAGTTAGATCTATAGGGTCCAATACTCCTTCCTACCATATTCATGTGCAGCCAGTGTGCAGCTATCGCAGACTAGTTGGGTCAATATTTAAACATAAATTACTGTAAAGCAATAACTCAGTAATTTGATTCAAATAACCAGTTGAGTTTACTACCGTTTTAAAATATGCATGAAGTAGGCATGTTTTTTTTTAAGCTATTGGCTACCCTGGTCACCATACGTTTTTTATACCATAGGTGTTCAAACTTCGTCATTGTAAAATCGAAAATTCATATTTTATATTTTTTAAGTATTTAAAAAAACCAGTGACAGCTAGAAATATTTTGTAATACGCGATGACAAGGCCAAACATTCACGATTATTTCCAGAGAAAATCATATTATCAATTAGTTATTAATAAATTTAGTAGCTACTCAATAATCTGAATGGAGGCATCAAATTTCAAACTTTAAAAAATAAGTGATTTTTTTCCAGACAGCTGCAGGTATATTTTTTACTTTTTTTTTTTTGAGTAGCCGAGGTGAACCCCACTAGAATCTGCGGGGTTATCCATTAATTACAGAACATTCTGTGTATATAAAAGATAGATTAAATAAAAATGATTCTAATCTAGGCTGCAGACGTTCGTGGACTACAGTAGGCGCCATTAGGTGGACTGTAGGATTGATTGTCACTTCAATTTTATAAAAAATTAACTCCGTAAATGAGAAACCTTTAAGCAAATTTATTCTAGCAATAAATGGGAAATTATTTCAAATTTGTTGATCATGGAGTCACATGGAATCTGTGAGTCGTTATATTACGGAATTGTTAGCTTTAGAACCAATATCTTAAAGCAATACCAATACCAATAAACCAATATAATTTGGAACCTAAATAAACCATCATAAAATAGGAAATTGGCTAGTTGAAGTGAAAACTTTAAAATCATTGTGATTTGAAAGTGGATAAAGAGACACTAAATAAATAGTAACAAACTTATTTATTCATTATCATAGAATATAAATAATACTTATTGAAAACCACTCGTTTGTTTAATTACCGCTGCACGGTTCTGATAAAATCTCTGTCCTGGGAAGACCTCACAAGAAAACTAGCAAGACTTTTAAAAACAAAATAACTCCTTATAATCATGTATTATAAAATTAATCAACACAAAACAAATTAGATTAGCTTGGTAGCGATCACCTCGTTCCCAGGGGTTATTATCATCCATAAATTCCTTAATATTATAACAACCCTTTTTATACAAACTTAGTTTAATAAGGTTTTTAAACTTTGAGCAGGTCTATCTATATGATTAAGCGTTCAAGAGAACGAGATATACCGTATATAGTGTTTGCTATTATCTCACTCTTTTTTTCTGAAGGTTTCACTTCCGCCGCGTGTGAACAGCACACATGTTTTTTATCATCCAGTAGTGGACTGTAGCCGACTATTGGTGCAGACAGGGAGAAGTAGTGATCATAAGGTTATGTGTGAGATTGTCACCTCGTCCAGATCGGGTGCGGAAACGGTAAAGGAGTTCTGCCGCGGCGGCCGCTCGTCCCCGAAGTACTCCGCCGACGAGATGCTGGAGCTGCCCTGGAACCGAGTCAGATTCGCGTCGCGCTCCCATCGAGAATCCTGGAGTACAACACATTTATTATATTTATGTAAATTATGAATTAGTACTATAATGATCGTATTTCGAAAAAAAATCTGCCTACATAAGAAAAAAAAACTCATTTGTGTCTATTTCGAAAATGACTAGCAAGTATACTCGGAACTGAGAACAATTCAAAAAATCGTAAAATATTTTGATAATTAGTAGGAGTAATGAGGGCGCATTGTTATCTGTTTTATTATTTAAAGTGCTAGATTAAGAAATGAAGATAATAACATAAGTACAGTAAAATTAAAAAAAATGTGAAACCCACTTCAATTTTAATAAAATGAGAACATCATCAATATAGTCAAGGTCAATTATTTTAATAGTGTAGATAGATAGATAGATAATTCTTTATTGTACACCAAATCAATACATAAACGAAAGAAAAAAAATTGTGTCACAATGGGCGGTCTTATCGCTAAAAGCGATTTCTTCCAGACAACCTTTAAATAATAGTGTAAGTAACATATGTTATGTTACAAGCAACATGTACAACGTTGAGCTATTATGTACTACGTACTAGAGGCGACACTGCATTCAGCTACTTTGTTCCACTCAACTGCGGTGCATGCACCGCACTTTAATCAATCACTCTCTAGGCGCTTGTAGAGTTGTCACGTGTTGATTTAAAAAAATCTCTCAATAAAAATATGCGTTCGTGTTTACTTAGATATTGCACAAATAATTCAAGAAATGCCAGTAAAAAATACGCAAGTTCAAGCAAATTGAAGCTCTAATAATTGATGGCATGCACTCCGCAGCGGCCCAAGATGATCAAAGGGTTCTGAAAACCTGAAAAAAATTAAAGGGCTATTCTAACGGTGGAAAATTTCCAGAAAACTCTGTAAAAATTGAACTCCGATTTTCCGTGATTCCAAACTGCATGCCATGGTCATACGAGGTTTTTCCAGAGTGTTTTTATTACAAAAACTTCCATTCTTTACATCGGCATGCAATTTGAAAACACGGAATTGCCCTTTAATTTTTTTCAGGTTTTCAGAACCCTTTGATCATCTTGGGCTACTGCAGTGTGCATGCCATCAATTATTAGAGCTTCAATTTGCTTGAACTTCCGTATATTACAAGGGCATGCAGTATACTATCACAGAAAAACATGAAAATTCGCTACACAAAGAAAAGCGCCTTTCCTTATGAAGAGGACGCGCGGGGGGGCTAAAGCCCCGACAATCTTTGATATTTTAGGGTTAGTTATCAAGCCTTAAAAAGGCATGCACGACAAAATCGTGGAACGTCACCTGTCACAAGCTCCCGGTCTATCATTCTACTTATGTTTATTCTATGATAAAAAAACACCCGCGCGAACACAGAGTAGGGCACATTTTTTGTTTGAGATAGCTGTTCTAGTACGTAAGTACATATTACTTCAATGATGTACAATTATTATTTTTAACAATAACCACTTAAAAATGAAAAAATAATAGCACACAGTTGTCTCCCGGCACGCTAGTTACATGCTGAGTTTTGGCTGGAACTTGTCCGCCGGCGGATTGCTGCTCGCGTGTTATTGTTTAAATAAGTTTTAAGTGGATTTTGATGTATTTGGCGCCCAGGGCTGAAGCAGAGAATGCCACTTGGCATTAAGTCGGCCTTATGTACCCTTAACTTTAAGGAGTTATATTTAAGATTTTAAATAAATAAATATGTAAAATTGGTATGACATTGTGTATTAAATGTGTGCACATGTGAACTAATGGAAACAATGAAACAAATGCTCCGATGGTGATGTCAACCTCCAGATAATGTGTCTGCTTTGACGCCTTGAGATGCTGTCGTCATCAACTGTCTGCTGGCTCAAGCTGCAGTCAATATCTCCCTCAAAGTTCGCAATGTGACGTCGAATGATCAACACATTGTTAACAAGTGGCAAAAGTACCGACCACGACTCAAGCTACAAGCTCCTTTGTCTCACGGCAGTAGGAAAATACCATGCGTTTTTTTTTTGTTATAGTTTTGTTGAATAGTTTGAGCTTTTCCTGGAGTACTTTGAATTTGCATAAAGTCAAATTAAAGTAATGTTTTACCATGTTTTATTAAGTCACTTTCTCTTGTCTCTGTCTATGTGTCGTTCCGGGTGGAATTTAGAAATTGATTATAAATCCCAATGAGCAGGAAACTTGAAATTTGAATAAAACTCAAATTTGGATGACAATTCAAGAATATGATAAAAAACGAGGTATGTTAAAAAAATAAAATAAAAAAAACACTTGAAACTTTACGATATTTTTCCGTAAGCCTTCCTGAAAAAAATAAATAAAAGAGAGACCATTACCAGAGAAAGTACTTACATGTTCACCGAAGAACTGCGCGGAGCTGATGGACTTGGCGGCGCCGAACTTCTTGACGGCGGAGTCGTCTTCGGGCTGGGTGCGGGCGGCGCGGGCGCGGCCGCCGGTGCCGGCGCCGGGACTGGCTGTGCCGGATCCGGTTCCAGATCCGGTTCCAGAGCCAGTTCCGGCGTGGAACATGTTGCGTACGACACGCGGCGGCTCCGGTTCTATTCGCTCCCAGCCGGGCTCCTCGCGCCTCTCGCTCTCCGACAAACGACTGCTGCTGTACGGCTCATTCCTGCAACAAACGTACTCATTCTTTTTTAAGTGGTAGAGCCACGCTGCAGCTATGTTATAGTTGTAGCACAAATGAGTCGACTCGACCAGATAGAACACAGGCGTGAAATAGCAACTTAATGCCGCTAGGTTTCATATTGGTCTGTAAATATCTGGAGACCCTTTTTAATGGAAACGAGGTATTCCATGTTAGTCAGGAGTGACAATGTATCTGCATCTTGATTAGATAAATGTACGTTGTCTATGGGCCACAGCATCCACTTACCATGAGGTATTGTGTGCTCGTATCTCACTCTTATTATATAAAAAAATAACTTATCTTTTAAATTAATAGAATCAGGTGTTACATATTATCGACTAAATATGCTAAATCGCTAACTCCCAACCATACTGCTTTCGAGGAAAAATAAAAAACTGATTTAAAAATAAAATACTCAAATAAGTGTAATAAACATTATATGTGGTGTTGAGGACTGTCTGTATAAAATAATATTGGTAATGAAGATTTAGAGGCCATACGTCAAGACATTTCGTCTATGTTACGTCGGCCGAAATTAAATCTTCCCAAAAATGAATTTAACGCGTTGAAAAACTTACGCAACAGACCAGAGCTTACGATTCTCCGCGCAGATAAAGGCAATTCTACGGTTATAATGGATACGTCAGATTACAATTTTAAAATACAACAACTTTTGTCGGATGAAACTACATACCGAAAGATCAAAACAGACCCTACAACTAATACGCTTAAAACAACTAGCGATCTAATTAAGAAATACTCCGAGAAATTGAATCTGGACGTTAATTCGATAATACCTTCATAAGCCAAACCACCGAAGTTGTATGGGTTACCAAAAATACAGAAACCGCACGCTCCATTACGTCCAATAGTGAGTCAGATTGATTCGCCAACTTACAGATTGGCTCAATACTTAGCTAAAATATTATCACCACTCAGAGGATACACAAGAGCTCACACTAAGGATTCATACCATTTTGTCAGTGAGATAAAAGACCTACGTCTTACTGACAATGAAACCATGGTCAGTTTTGATGTTCAGTCTCTATTTACATGCCTACCTGTTGAAGACTGCATCTCAATTATTACTAGGAAACTAGAGGAAAATAAAATGCCAGCAGAATATGCAGTATTACTCAGACATTGCCTTACATCTGGCTATCAATTGTGGAAGGAAGAGTTTTACAAGCAAGTAGATGGTGTTGCGATGGGCTCACCTGTATCTCCCATTGTCGCCGATATATTCATGGAAGACTTTGAGGAGAAAGCCCTCCTTACTGCACCTGTTACACCAAGGATCTACAAGCGGTACGTAGACGATACTTTCACAATTTTACCATCAGACAAAGTAACTGCATTTTTAGAACATCTTAATTCCATAAACTCTAAAATTCAATTTACTATGGAGTTAGAGTGAAATAATTCCTTACCTTTCTTAGATGTGTTAGTCATCCGAAATCCTAACAACACCATTGGTCACACTGTGTATAGGAAAAAGACCCATACAAACCGATATTTAAACGATGAATCTCACCACCATCCTTCACAGTTAGCTACCGTGGGCAAATCTTTGATACAGAGAGCACGAAGGATCTGTGACAGCAAACACCTGGCCGCCGAGCTTCAGCACGTCAAGCAAGTTCTGCACGACAACAAGCTTCGGGTCCCGCGCCTACGTCACAGTGACCGAGTGAAACCGGCCACAGTCGAGCGTGTGCCTGCTGTACTACCATATGTCAGAGGTGTCACAGACAAGATTGGCTACATCTTGAAGCGAGCTTCTATTAGAACATTCTACAAGCCGCCGAAGAAGATTAGTCAGTTCCTACCATCCGTCAAGTGTCATATTCCTCTACAAGATGCAGGAGTGTACAAGCTTGATTGTGAATGTGGTCTCTCTTATATAGGACAAACAAAAAGATCAATTAGAACCCGCGTAAAAGAACATATAGCTGATGTGAAGCATCAACGTTCCGGGAAGTCTGCAGTTTGTGATCATATCTTAGACGGCCCCAACCATTACATCAGATTTGATAGACCACAAATCCTCGCGAAAGAACACCGATTCCTACCAAGGATGATACGTGAGGCTATTGAAATTAATGAAAAACATCCTAATTTCAATAGAGAAGGAGGCTGGGTACTACCACCTGCTTGGGATTCTATAATCAATAAAATTAAAACTAAACCCAAGCATACCACTGCAAGACCTCAGGACATAGTCAGTTCATTTTGCATAGATCGGACCATAAACAATAATTAAAAAAGCTGAAGGTACTCCAGGTTTAACAATGACATCGGGACGTCAGTCATCTCAGTCCCCCGTGACCATGGGTGTCGGAAACATTTTTTACAGCACACAAAACGCACTGAAGAAGGTCGTTTTTGTGTCACGCTGCCATTGATCGACGAACCAGACTGCCTAGGCACTTCCTATTTCATGGCCAGGCGGCGATTTATAAACCTGGAACGTCACTTTCGCAAGCAACCCGAACTTAAGTCCGCCTATGTAGACTTCATTGAGGAGTATTACAAACTAGGACACCTAGAAATATCTGAGGTAGACCGACCTGAGCTTGTCTATTTTGTTCCGCATCATCGTCGTCTTTGACGCATCAGCTCGCACGTCATCAGGTTTGTCTATAAACGACATTCAAATGATAGGCCCTACAGTTCAAGACTCTCTTTTCGATATCCTCATCCGGTACCGGCAACATCGTTATGTGTTGTCAGCGGATATTGAAAAAATGTACCGGCAGGTTTTAGTAAATGAGTCTGACCGAAACCTACAGCTGATTTTATAGCGTGATGCGGAGGACAAACCATTACAAACACTCAGGCTCAACACGGTCACTTACGGATTTGCTAGCGCTAGTTTCCTTGCCACCAGGTGTCTCTGGCAAGTAGGCGAGGAGTATGACGATGACGTGATTAAGGCAGTCATACAGGAGGACATGTATATTGATGACTTACTAACTTCTAGCGATGATGAAGATCAATTACGGTCTATACAAAAATCAACACATGAGACTCTTTCTAGGGCTGGTTTTAATTTACGTAAGTACCGATCCAACTTACCTTTTTTTTTACTGCCTTCAGATGTTGTCCAGTCATCCAGCAACCTGACATTGAGTCAGTCTACAAATACGCTGGGCATAAATTGGAGTCCTTCATCCGACAGTATTAACTTTCCCATTGCAGTGGATCAGTCTCAGGTCGTCACTAAGCGCTCCATTCTTTCTTCCACTTTCAAGATCTTCGATCCCTTGGGGCTCATATCCTTGTCCACTATCGTTCCCAAAATTTTAATTCAGACCTTATGGTCTCTGAAATTGGACTGGGATCAGCCCGCTCCCAAGGAAATCGTCGATGTTTGGAGACCTTTTGTTGAAGGACTTAAGGTGGCTCAAGTCGCGGGCTCGAACTCATTGGTGGGCGCGGCCAAAAAGCACGTTGTCTCACCTGGCATCGTGTCCGACAGAGATAGTACCAGTGAAGAGCAGTTAGAACGCACGTCTTGTTCGTACGGCGTTCCGAACCGTTAGAACAAAAACGAAGTTACACGAACACGATGCACACATACATACCACCCTATTCTGTGCCGCTCGACGCTTGCTGAGAAATCAGCAGTACCTACCTACAAACTCGTACTAAATTATTAGGCACTGCGCTACGTTATCGCTTTATACTATACCTCTATGGCTCTATAGATACCTAATATAGATTGCTAATTTTATTATGTTTTGTTTTCCCCGGGTGGTCATGCAGCGATCACTCAAGAGTTCACGACGCCGAAGCATGAACTGGAACAGTCATCGCAATTTATATCCGTACTAGCTGTTGCCAGCGGCTTCAAACGCGTGAACTCGAAAATTATCCCACAGGAACGAAATACCTGAATAAACGGTATAAAAAAATGTGTTATTCCAGACCAGGTATAACCTATCTCTGAGCTATCATCCAGATCCCTTCAGCTGTTCTGGCGTGATTGAGTAACATACATCTATCCATCCAAACTTTCGCATTTATAATATTTAGATAATAATTGTAATTAGTTCTGCCTACCTATAAATTATTTTCAAAAATACTTACCTGTCTTCTTACTTTTTTACATACACACAATATCACTAGATGTAAACACATGTTTTTATCAAGACAAGTGACCCGTCAAGACTGTTTCCTTAGTACCGACGTACTTAGGCAGGTAGTAGTAGGTAGGCAAAAACGATTACTACTGAAAAACTAAATAGGTACCTACCTAAAATTCAAATAAAAATATTCTCAAAAAGCTCAACCAATTCAGAATTTAATTTTGTTATAAGAAAATTAGTCAAATAAAAAATAAAGGATGAAAATAAAGCATATGGGAATATAAAAATAAATCGTATTTATTTGTTATTTCGAGTTTTACAAAAAAAGCATAATATTTACTGGAGAGAATTATTTTATTATTATAATAGTACATGATATTCCCTTTAAAATGACACCAATATGAATAATATCTTATATCTATATCTACAAATAAATAAAATTTAAGTGTCTGTTTGTAATGTTAAAATAACAGCTTTTTATTAAATGCATATGAAAGTACTAGTAACAAAAACACATTTTTTAAAATTTCAAACACCACAATCTCTAATTTTTTACTCTGCTATCTTCAGCGCTGTACACGAACGGAACGATGTCGTTGAGAGCCGTGGTAGCTCACATGGTTAGCGCTCGTTATAGGTATCACAGTACGGGAGCAATCCGGGTTCGATCCCCACTGGCACCAATGAAATTGTTGCGTGCTGATTTAGCTATCAGTTGGAAAGTCTGTTTTTCTGGGCCGTTTTATTTTGTTACACTGACATCTCGCAAGTCACCTAGGGACCTAGGAGGTTGTCGGTTGCTTATTTTTTAATTTTCTTTAAAATTTTCGTCGGTAAAATAACATATTTATAAAAGTAAAAAAAAGTAAAGTTACAGCCTATATACGTCCC